AGAGGCCAAAAAATTGATAAAAATTTTCGTAGGGCGATTCTATCTTTTGTGGGTCGGTGGGCACAAATCCGCACAATCTGGCTGATATCGCATCTGTAGTCCGATCCCGTGATTTCACAAAAAATATTTGTATCTCCGATCCGCCCAGAAAAAGCTCGGAAATCAGCCCTCATTTTTGAGAGGGGAGGGGGATCTGTTACAGGGAGATCAGCAAATAGAGATCACTAGAGATGTCCTTCTTCCAAAATACACCTAACGACACGTGGAGAGAGAGAGAGAGAGAGAGAGAGAGAAAGCGACAGACAGACAGAGAAAGGGAAGGACACGGTAGATAGAAGGAAAACAAGGGGAAAAGCCTTTGATGTCTGTTTGATGTGATTTGATGTCCTTGTCTTATGTGTCATACAAGAGATGTGGAGGCGTATGATTACGCACGGATACGGACGAAAATAGGGCAGATTGAAGGTGGATCGAGGGATGGATCGACTGACCGCATTCCAGGCCACAAACTACACAGAGTATCAAAGGCGAACTTCTGGAAAAAGTTACGCTGCAAGACTACAATGTGTGTCAAAGGTAAGATTTCAGGTATCGACGTTTTATTTGATTAAGTGCCCGACAACCTGGCTGAAAGCGCTCTATTTTCGAAAATTCTAAATAATACGGTGGTCTGGTTGCCAGCAAAGAAAATGCAGGTACGAACAGGCTAACTGAATTGCAGTCTACGAACTATAGTGGGTGCCAAAGGTAAAGCCAGAGATCTGATGGACATTTCCGGTTCCTTAGCTGACAGCTAGACCGTATTCACTCAAAAATGCCTGAAAACAAAACTATGCGGTAATCTGGGCGTCAGACAACCCGATAAACAGAGTGAATCCCCTGAGGACATGCCAATTAGTTGAACTGCCACCCAAACAACCAAATGAGATGAAGTTCTGGTTTCTAATTTTTGGGAGTTTCCGGTGGATGCCAACTGACATCCAGAAACGGATGGGCATGGCGGATTGGGGAGGGGAAACGAACCCGAAACGAGCTAGGGCCCCATACGGCTTTTGGGGGGCTACAGGTGACCAAATATTTGAACGAAATTTGGAAGGGAATGGAATCGAGGAAGAGAAGGGAGGAGATATGGATGGAATGACTGACTGTGGACAAATTATGGGATTCGAGGATGAAACCAAGAATCGCAGAGGGGAAAGTACGGGAATCGGCAAATTGGATCGATTGGAATTCAGTTTGGATGACAAATATATAGGAATTAAGTTCAGAGCCATCAGATTCGAGAGTTTTGGAACTTTGAAATTCAGTGACCCTCGAGGGTAACTGAGATTTTGAATCTCGGCGAAATAGCTAGGAAGCTAAAATTTGGGTGAAAATACCATATCATAAACAGAAAAGGCATTTTGTTTAGCACACGGACAATGAGGGCGAGGGAGAGAGAGGGAGAGAGAGCGAAAGAGAGAGCGAGAGAGTGACGAGTCAGCTCGCGGAAAAGCGCTTCCGATTCCGCGCAGCAACTCTCTCTAGCTCTCAACTCTCAACTAACGACGACTCGGATTGCATACACCCTCTCAATAAAAGTTCATCAAAACTGAGTCCCGGAGTCAGATTTCAGGCGCCGGAAAAGACGAAGCAGCATCACGCGGGTGATGACAGCATTTTCATAATCGAGAGTGGGGTTTGGTCGAGGAACTTTGGGTCCGGAAGTGGGCCGGAAACCCGAATAAATGATAGGGTATGTCTTGCTGGCTAACTTTGAAGCTTACTACGACACTTTAGTGATGATTAAACTAGCGTAGTCGAATATTTGAACCAGTGACCAAGGGTCAGTAAATAGCGTAATCGAATTTCCAAATCAGTGACCCAGAAAGGTCACTGAATTGCAGCAATTCAAATAAGACCGATTTGCATCTCAAACAGATCTAGACAGCTTTGTGGCTAGACACTTTGAATATAGGTGACGTTTAAAAGCTTTAAAAGCCCGGATTACGGTATCGAAACCACCTGATCGAGATGGACAAGAGTCTCGGGACCACATCCCCCACTCCCTCATCCCATTTCGTGTCTCTCATTTGCGAGCCCCCTTCCCTTCCCATTCCCATTTTCTGTGTAATTTGGAGGGCACCGGACACTCGATCCACACCACATCAAAAGCCTCCTCTTCTCTTTTCGATCGACTGAATATACTGACTCATCCAACACATAAAGGAGATCCAATTCGGGGTTTGATTTAGCTGGATGGTTTTTGGGATGAGTCAACTGATACTCAGTTGATGGGAGCTTATGCCTTTTTGAGGTATAGCGGATCAGTTACTTCTATTAACTGGCCGATTTTGCTGATTTTTAGACAGCTGACCTGCATTTAATGAAAAACTACAGTAGATTGGAAGCATACTGGCCAGGAAGGAGAATTTAATCCGTAATTTTTTTAACAATTTTCTCTCGTCAAATTGCCATTACCCAACCAGTGATCCAGTCAAAAAGCCCCCCAACCCCCCTTTAGCCTCCGAAAAGGTGGCATAAGGTGTATTGCGTACTGATGGGAGGACAAGTGCATATTAGCGAATAAGGAGGATCCGATTACGCAATACCACAATACGGCCACATGCTGGGCATTCAGGGGCAGACAGATAGACTGACTGGCAGGCAGACAGACACCATATGAATTCCGCGATAATCCAATTGACTTGGAGCACCGTTTAGCTCTGCAAAAGGGATTCCGGCCAGCTGGCAGGTGGGTTGGTGGCGGAGTTTGAAATTTTGAATCTGGTTTAGGAATTTGAATTTTTTGGCTTATCGAGTAGAGGGAGAACCAATTTGCAAGAATTTCTACATCAAAATTTATTTCAAACTTATTTAAAAATTTTAGTGATTTAAACTGGCAGTTGCTGAGATCACTGAATTAAACTTATCAAACTCGGCGCCGAAATTTTCATTTTAGTCTTATCGCGTGGAGCATCAGCCAGTTGCGGTAATCTTTGCATCAACTGATTTAAAACCCTAGCAAATTTATTAAACCGCTTCGAATCGGACTTCAAGTTAACCAGTTTATCGTAATTTCTGCATTAAAACGTATTTAAAATGTATTAACAATGATCGAACCGTGTAAAGCGAAATTTGCAGCCTGAACAGATTGGCCTCATTGCTGTCGGGGGTGCAGTGACCCCTAGAGGGCCAATAGCAGGAAATGACGGCTATAAATTACTGGAAGCCAGGTACGCGGCTGCTCTCTTCCACACAACCAACACTCCTACTAATCAACTCGACCCGGGGGCGAAAATTGGTCGAAATTGTTTTTTGATGGTGGTGATGTTGGCCAGCTCGAAGATTGAGGTATTATCTATAGAATTCATTCGTCTGTTTGTCTGTCTGTGGGCCAGTTTGTCTATCTGCTGTTTCTAACTCCTTTCCGACAGCCAGCTCTAATTTTCCGGCAAAATCATTTCTTATTTATCCTCAATTTTCGCGCATTCGGCTCAGGATTTCGATTTGCATGCAGCCACAAATCACCCGACAACTCTTCTCCCATTCTTTCTGTCCTCTAGGGAAGGCAATCAAATTAGCATAAAATGGGGGAAGATCGCTGCGGGACCCTCGGTTGGGTGTTGAATGAGATACAGTAAACCCACTAGGAGAGAGACACCGATAGAGAGAGACAGACAGATGAGAGAGAGAGAGAGAGAGAGAGAGAGAGAGAGAGAGAGAGGGAATGATTTGCGACAGCCAGGTGACAATGGGCATCCCATTTACCGTTAGACCCACACCAACCCAACCAATCCCATTCCATTCGACACCCGGTTTTGAGAAAAAGTTTGGATGAAATGAGCCGAAAAACCCCGGGGCAACTGCAAAGGGTTGTCGGCCGGAGGCCAGTTTACACATAAGGAAATAATATTCCGTAATGTGTTGTAGTTTATTGTTTTTAGCGGGAAGGGGGTAACTAAAATTCGGAGAGCCAATTTTAAAAACTACCGCAACTCAATTTACCGCATACGCCATATGTACCGAAAATTGTTTTTAAATTTAAGTTTATCGTTTTTAAGACGAGTTAATTAAAATTCGGAAAGTCTGGCTCTCAGTTTGCATTTCCGAATTGAGGTTGCGATAATTTGGTGGTTTGTAGATTTTTTGTTTGTAGTTCGGAGCCCACCGTAATGCCATTTGGTGTAACTCGTAGCTTATAAGACCGGGTAACTGAAGAAACGTTTATTGGATGCCAGCGGAATTTTGAAAAAAATTGGTAAGTGGTTGGCAGATAGAAAAACCCGTGCAAAGTATTGAAAGTGTGAAATACAGTTAAATCGATTGGCAGATAAAATAGCTAAATGCCAAATATACCATTCTGCCAGTTACAGTATCCAATAAAACAGCCAATTTTAAAAAATTTAGTTGGAAATTGAGGTGTTTGTAGAGCAGATAGGACAGAGACACGGCTGTCCTAATGCCTTACGGCATGGAAATGAAGTGAGAACGGGGAGATACGGTATAAAGGGGAAGGATTTGAAGGGGAATGGAGAGGAGATAAGTTGAGAGGGGAGAGAAGAAGAAGGGAGAGGGAGAGGTGGAGAGAGAGGACGATGAGAAACAGAGAGGGATGGCTTCTGATCTTCTGATCCATTCGAGATGAGCGATTCGGATTGAGAGGTGAGGGGTGACTGGAAAGCAGCGTATTAATATGATTCAAAATTAAAATTTTTACAAGTAAGAAAAGTCATTGACCTTCGTTAAAAATGCGCTCAAAATTCATTGGCCTTTTTCGAAAAAAGACTAAGATTTAGTGATTTTTCACAAAAATAGCATAAGTTTTAACACTTTTAAAAAAGCGCTTAAAACTTGGTAATCTTTGTCTAAAAACTTCTGAAAAATTCAGTAATTTTATTCAAGATGGCCAAAAAATCAGTGACTTTTTCTAAAAATGCAAAAAATCAGTGACCCCTTTCAGTGCATCGCTTTTTATGCAGTGAGAAAAATAAGTTCCCTTTTTACAATTCTAATTGTCAGACATTAACCCCTACCTTAATCCTCAAATTCGGCACTTTGGCCGGTGGTGGTTGGAGGCCGGGTGGGACGTCCTCTTTTCCGGATTCGGGCTGAAATTCCGAGCCATGGAAGCCATTTTGCCTCAAAATTTCTGATAGCCAGCCTGCCAGTTAATTAAAATAAGCTAAAAAGTTTTAACTTTTCCCCAAAGAACTCTGCTAGCTCGCTTCGAAAGTTGAAAGTTTCACGTACCGTACTGGCACCTCGGAGTTTCTCGTTTTCACCCGCCAAGCGTTCATTGATTTTCATAAGCTGCCGGATTCTAAAATTTGCGTTTTCGGTTTTAGCTGTGTATTTGTAGTTTGTAGCTTAGGTTTTTAACTGTAAAAAACCTACCGATTAGCAGCCAAAATCAGCGTGTTGATTTTGCTCAAACGCCTTCCGCCCGGGCCTTCCTGAAATCAAGATTTTCATAGTGTAATTCGATAGGCTGGATGCCAGTTAGAGAATTTTAGGGGTTTCTGGATCCTACCGTACCCTAAATTACAGTAGAAATCATCAAAAAGTGCCTGACCTTCCAAGCTAATATTGCGATTTTCATCGCGTCATTGGATGGTCTGAACGCCAGAAAGAAAGATCATGTTTTTAATGCTTAATTGAATAGGCTGACTGTCAGCTAATCGAATTCTACTATTTTGGTACGCTACAGTACCCTTGACGTACCGTGTACACCTTCGGAAGACAACTCCTCAAATCATCGAGTGCATCGTTCAAATCATGCATCCTCTTCCTCTCTCTCGAATTTATCGAAGTCCGTAGTACGTTTTGCTCCTAGATACGTGGGGTTACTGTCAGTTTAAGGTTTTAGCCAATTCAAAATGCCTAAAAACCGACCTCTTCATTCAACCCTTCCATTCTTCTCTTGGCCTCACTGGCCGAATTCTTCCTCCGAACGTACGGCTCGAAGTCGTCGTCGCCGAGCAGCGCCTGAAAAAATGATTGATTACGGTAGATAGGGCAACAGTTAGTGAATTAAAGGGACCGGCAAGGCATAGATATGGATTTTACACGAATAGAAATGCACGAAACGGCAAAGAGAATCCATCGAGAAGAAATGCCTTGCCGGTCCCTTTAAATGATATTCTGGCTCACCGCCATAACACTGCTCCTGCCAGATGGAGACGGAGTCTGTTCATCAGAGCCGGAGGAGGACATCCTCAAAAAATCATTGACGTAAGGATACGGTAGCTGAGGGGCCAGGCCACTGAATTGCATTTGGTAAAATTAACGTAATTAACTAAAAAAAATACGCCACTGGCTAGCTTTCAAGACAGTTTAGCTATCAAGTCAGTGCCTAGCTTTCCAAGCTAAATTGGCTAGCTGCTCAACAATAAGAAGGAATTCGTACTAAAAATATTTACATAGGGATACGGTAGGGTAACTGAATCGAAATTTGAAGAAATCACGGTCAAATTACCAAAAAAAAGATAAGTGAAAAGTAGTGGCATATGCCAGTTAGGCCAACACCCAAAAAATCCGCCTCAATACTATTGCCATACTACCGTATGCCAGTCAAAATGCTGTCCAACAGCCAGAAAGACGGTTCAAAAGTCGCCCCCTTGGCTAGACTCCACCCCGCTCGCCCGTCCGCCCCTTGACTCCTCCCCCTTCCCGTCATTTGTATTGTTGTGTAGTAGTAATTGTGGGTTTTAGAGGGCGGATGAGTCAAGGGGCCAATAATCCCCCTGTCTGTCAGTCAGTTAGTGCTCTCTATTCAATACAATGAGATAACCACAGAACTATGGGACCCTGTGGGCCCTAAGAAGACCAGGGAGGGCCTATGCCCCATACAAAAAGATTAGGACATTAAGGGGCGGAGCCCTGAGAAAAGGTCAATTCTACAAATTATAGGGTTGGAGTGGGGACGGACATCTGTTGGTACGGGGGGATAGCAGAGAGAATTTGGGAACGGGAAATTCTGAACTGGCTGGAAAGTGAACTTATACAGGCCTTTAGGCGACTAGGAACGGCCATGACTGGACTTTTGAATTCAGTAACCCCGGGGTAACTGAATCTTTCCCGGCTTTGGGCAAGCTAGCAAAGGCCATTTGTGGAAGGAATCGATTGCTTGCTAACTAACTAGCTTTCTAGAACAAAGGGCAAGCTATCAAAGATCCTTTCAGGAACAGCAAACACCAGTGAGGATAAGTACAAATCAGTTACCCTAGGGTAACTGAAATATTTTCGGGCTCTGGGCACGCTAGCAAAGGCCTTTTGCGGAAGCAATCAACTAACCGTCCGCCAATTTAAACTTTCTGACAAGGCAAGCTAGCAACGACAATTTGCGCACTGGCAAAGACCATTTTTAGGAATAATCTAATTCAGTTACCTTAGGGTCACTGAATTCTCACAATGCCCCTGGCAGGCTAGCAGCCCCCTAGAGGCTAAATAAGGAGTTTGAATCCTAAAAGGTGCAGCTGGCTACCGTACCCTGCCGTGACACCAAAAAGTTGCAGATCATGGGGATTGAAGGGGGAAAGGTGTGGTGGTAGTGGGATGATCCGGCGTGTAATCCCCCATTCACAATTAGGTGTTGAAAATGAGGGGGCAGATGGAGGAGGGGGATAAAAGAGAGAGAGAGAGAGAGAGAGAGAGAGAGAGAGAGAGACCGGATATACCGCGGGCATGCCGTCTTTTGGTATTTGAACGGCAACCGGAAAACGTCTAACAATTCTTTTAAAGGGACTTGCAAGTGAAAATTTCGAATTTTTCTGTAGATTCCGGTTGGCTGCTGACCAGATACAGAATTGAGCTATATATTTTCACTTCCTAGCCCCTTTAAATCAACCAAAAATGTCTAGATTTCATAAACCATCGAAAAACGGCCAAAAAGTGTTTTACAGGGACTAATAAGTGGAAAATCCTACCTTATATAATTTTGGCGTGTAACTGTATGTGTGTGTGTGTGTGTGTGTGTGTGTGTGTGTGTGTGTGTGGATGTCACTTTCAAGGCCCGATTTGAGGACCTTCCCGTGCATAAAATGCTCTAATTCTCCGTCACTTGAGGAAATCGACCCTTCTGTTTCCAATGGCGCTTTCAGAATTTTGATAAAATACAAGTTTACAAAGTTAAAGCCGGTTTTACTCATTTTTGGGGGTAATTTGCATAATGTGAAAAAATAGAAATTTCTTCATTCTTGCAAGTTGCACGCGCGCGTGTGGTCGGCCGGGGGGAGGGGGTCCGAAGGACCCGAGCTATCGGAAAGTCAAATTTCTTATGCAAAGGCCGCATTCCAGCGCCCAAGGCCCGCGAAGCGGATTTTGGGCGCTGGTTTCCAATTATTCTGTAGGATGAAGTTCTCGCTTGCCAGAACGCATTTCGAGAAAGGTCTCGAGGCTCCCCAGTGCCTTTAAATGCATCAAAAATCGCTGGTTTCAAATATCGATCGAAAAAAGTCGAAAACCTTTGTTAAGGGACTGATAAGTCCGAATTTTCGATTTTTCTAAAGAATTAGGATGGCCGCCTGCCAGAAAAAGATAAGCTATATACCATGGCATCCCAAGCTCTTTAAACCCAGCAACATTGGATTGTTATGATCAAAATTAATAAAAAAAAAAAAAAAAATTTTAATATAATATTAATAAAAAAATAAGGTAAAAAAAAAAAAAAATTAAATCCAATCCATATTTATATTAAAATTTAGATAAAAAACAAAAAAAAAAAAAAATTATTTTATATTTTTAAATTTTATAAAAATAAAATAAAAAATTTTAAAAAAAAAAAAAAAAAAAAAAAAAAAAAAAAAAAAAAAAAAAAAAAAAAAAAAAAAAAAAAAAAAAATTAAATAAATTAAAAATTAATTTTTTTTTTTTTTTTTTTTTTTATTTTATTTTTTTTTTTTTATATTTTTTTTTTTTTTTTTTTTTTTTTTTTTTTTTTATAAAATAAAAAAAAAAAAAAAAATTTTATTATAAAAATTATAATATAAAAAAAAAAAATTTATTATATTTAAATTATTAATATTTTTTTAAAATAAAATAAAAAATTTTAAAATAAATTTTTTATATATGTAAAAACAATGCCAACCAGCACGGCTCAAATAAACAAGAGTATCGGATGAATATTGAGAGTATATGGATAGGCTAATTAGAGGGTGATACAGTAGAAAGCTAAGGATAGAAATATGTGCTGATAGACAGTAGAGAGAATATAGGGGGAAGGGGGCATCTGGCAAAGATCACTGCGGGATATCAAGTGGTCGGAACACTTGACCAATTAGCACTATGACACGGCTGGCCAGGGAGGGGGAGGGGAGGGGGATCGACAGATTGCCCCTGGCCACACCTGCGGCAGTCAACTAGCAAGAAAATAATAATATGAACCCCAAAGGAATATAAATATGTCTGGAAAAAGAGAAGAGGAAAGTTTGGAAACGTCCCTGAATCACAAATCGCCTAAAACCCCCGAAATGACGACTACAACAACTGGAAATTCTGGATTAATGGACAAATTCAACGTTTTTGCAAAAATCCGTTATTTTTGGCAGGCACTTATATAATTTTAAGCGTTTTAGAGGCTTTTTTTAATTTCCAGGAAGCCGCTCTAGAAGATGAAAATGTTCCGCAACGCTCCACCAAACGTTTGAGCGCGCAGAGGTGTCAGACGGAGCTGGGGAAACGGGATTAGTGTGGGCATTTGGCTCGGCTCGAATTTCGAGCGGCTCGGTTTTCGAGCCAAACTCGAATTTCGAGCGGCTCGAATTTCGAGCCGAGCCAAATGCCCACACTAAACGGGATGTTCAATTTTGGCATTTTTGAAAACTTCTTTTTGCTCGAACTTTCTATACTTTTTCAGGTTTTTATTTTGTTTTAATTAGAGTCGAAACGCGCGTGTTCGCTTTTTTCGGGGGGATTTGAGCAGCAGGGTGAGTTTCGAAACTCGTTTTTCGGGTTCTTAGCGCGCTGAAAATGGCTTTCCGCTTTCCTGCAAGCGATTTATCGAGGATTTTTCGTTCAAAACAATGCAAATAACTGAAAATACGCCATGAAACACGTTCTAAGAACTTTGTTTGGTGGCGAGAAGCTCGAAATAAGATTGAAAAGACCTATGCTTCGCGATATTCCAGATTTTTTAAGTTTTTGAAGTCCCCAAAAGCGTAGATTCTTGCTTATGAGATCCATCTGGCTATATATCTTCTCTTTTTCTCTATATTTCAATTTTCTATGCCTTTGTATCCATTAAAATACCCCTTTTCAGCCCGTCTCTTCTGGCAATGATCACGGACCATCAGCTGCACTTGACGGTGAACGCGATCGGGGTTGCCGTCTTTGCCCTCGTCGTCTACTATCACTGGCTCATTTCGAGGAACAAGATCGAATGAGAAGACGAGCATCAGAAGGAGGAGGAGGAGAAGTCTCGATGAATCGCCCTCATCTCCACCGAATCGTCTAAATCACCTACAATTCGGCGTCTCTCATCTTGTGCTCCATCTCCAGAAATGGCCATTCCTCGCTGCAAAACGAATTCCAACGATTTTATTGCGATTTTTGTGTGTTTTTACGTGTCAAATTGAGCTTGTAGTTGGTGTGATTTTTGGCCTAAAATCCATCGAATCTTTTCGGTTTTTGGGCCTAGAACGCTAGAATTTTCTGCTTTTTCTGGGCAAATTTGTGTGTCTTTTTTTTCTGCGTTTTTCGGCCTAAAATCTATCTAATTTTTGGTGTTTTTAGCCCAAAATCGCTAGAAATTTCTCGTTTTTCGAGTCTATATAGATTTTCTGGACGTTTAGGCCTAAAATCTCTCGAAATTTCCCCGTTTTTCCGGGCAAATCTGTGCATATCTTTTTCCTGCGATTTTTTGCCTAAAATCACCCTGAATCGCTTCGTTTTGCCTGTTCCCCCCTTAAAAATGTGTGTCTTTCTTTTTCTCTGTATCTTTCGGTGGCTCTCAATTTCTCCTGTTCTCTAATCGCTCAAGTTTCGGGTGGATTTCGGTTGTATAAATACTTTTCCAGCCTGTAGCCATGGCCTACGTGCAACACTGGGATCTGAATGAGCATGAGGAGAAGAGCGAGAAGGAGCTGCAGCTCGAGCAGATGTATCAGCACATTCTCGACGCCAAGCAGAAACGGGTCAACAAGGTATATTTAGCGTTTAAAAACCAATTTCTTGTTTCTAGGATAGAATCAAGCGTCTAGCCGTGGGCCCTCTACTCGCCCAGCTGAGAAATAGTTGTAAGGATTTTCTATGTATTTTTTATATTTAAATTTTTAGCGACGAACCCCGAGCTGGGCGACGAAAATCAGAACAAGCCGATCGCGCCACCGAGATCCCCGATTCGACAGCGAAGCTTCATGATGGGTAAGGGGATTTTTTGGCCTACAATCGCTGATTTAGGCCAAAAAATGGCCAGAAAATACGTTGTTTTTACGGTTTTACTGGTTTTAAAATAATTTTTTATTAATAAATACTATTAAATGTATCCTGTCTTTTTAAGCGGAAATTTAGGCGAGAGAAATCGGCAAAATCGCCATAGTATTTCTATTTTTAGCGCCCAACTTTGGCCCCCTGGACGTGCTGGTGAAAGAGGAAATGGTGCGCCACTCGATTCTCGACAAACCATGGCTATTGGAACAGGTTGGGAAGTTAATTTCTTTTTACTTTATTTTAGGTGTACGAAACGGCGGCGGCTCCTCCCCATCCCACCGATATCCCTTCCATTCAACGGCTTGTCCGGCAAAAGATGCCGCGGTGTAAGGTGAGGCAAAATTTTGGTTTTTCGTCAATTGAAATTTATTGTTTTTTTTTGAAGAAAATTTTAGATTTTTCTGACCAAAATTTGCAATGGTTGCAATTTGAGAAAATTTTTATGGCTTTCAGTTTTATGAGTTTTTTGAACATGGTATTTTTAATTCATGGCCTAAAATTATCGATTATGGCCATAAATACAGCAATTTTCGATATTTTCCAACTTTAATCAATCCGATTTTTTAGATCTGCCGGAACCGTTTCGGAGAGCGATTCCTGATCGAGGTCCACATGAGGGAATGCCATCCGGAAGACTATGAAGAATATGTCTATGAAATGGAGAAGACGGCATTCGATCAGAGAAAAGAAGAAATGGAGAGGAATAGAGTGGAAGAGATTCTCTTTGGAGGGTTCATTCCCCCCCGAAGACTCCTATCAGGCCGAGAAGATGGACTATCAAGTCGATGAGTGGGTGCAGTTGAACCGATTACGGCATGAAATTAAGCTTCGGAATCAGGGGGAAAGCTTTAATCTTTTACGCCATGTAATTACGTTTGAATTGGCTAATTGATTACGCCATATATTTCTTTTAAGCGGTTATTCAATTACGACACTTATATCGCATGGAGTTAGCGATGATTTAGGGTTTTTCGAAGGTCTCAATCGATTATGTCATGTTTTCGGGCTGTTTAAGTTTATACGGGTTTTGCGATGCGATTCAGCAGATTACGGTTTTTTAGTGGGTTTTAATGGGTTATGGCCTGTTTTTCGCAGGTTTTTATCGATTACACGAGGTATTTTACAGTCGAAATTGGCAGATGACGATATTTAGTGAGGTTTAATCGATTACGCCATATTTTCGCTTGTTTTTATCGTTCTCGACACATATAATTCTCTGTTTTCAGCATCCCCCTTCCCGGAGAACTAGACATTGAGGGAAAGGCGTCTCGATTCGTCGACAAATGGGGATCCATTTTCCCGAAGAAGATCAGGACCAAGAAGAAGGTTCGGTATTTTTATAGATTTTTCTATATTTTTAGGTCTCCCCGCAATGCCCCCGTTGTGACAAGCGATTGAGGAATGATTCGTCCCTCAAGAAGCATATCATCAAGAAACATCCCGATGTCGTCAATTTCACGCAATGCCGCCAGTGTTTTAAGGTAGATTTTAGAAGGAAATTGGATATTTTAAAGGTGTTGTGACAGCTGAAAAGTGGAATAAATTTAAGTCATACACACAGAAGTTGAAAAAAGTAAATTTTGCCGTGATTGGCTGATTTTAAAGGTTGGCGGACAGCTGAAAAAGGTGGGATAAATTCGACCTGGCATCTTAAATAAAAAAAAAATACAATTTTGAAGGCGCCATGACAGCTAGAAGTGGTGCTCACTAAATTCTCTACCTCGTGCTCTCTTAAAAAATGCAAATATTTTGGTTTTTTTCTGATTTTAAAGGTGTTGTGACAGCTGGAAAACTCGGTAAATTAGACTGGAAGGTTGCCTTTTAAAATTTTTGACCGTTTTTATGTTTTTTTAGGTGTTCGGCACGAAAACGGAGCAAGAGCAGCATGATTGTGACCTGGTGAGCAATTTTCCAGCCCGATTCTACAGTGCCCCTTTTGTAGTCATTCCTCTGCTTCGAGTGCACCCCCATCCGAAACCTCTACACGGCCATTCGACTCGCCACGCACAGGGCTAAATTTCACAGGGGTACTTTTGTTTTTGAGCACGAACTTTTAAAGGGAGTGTGACAGCTCATTTTTGGTTTAATATAGTTAAATTTTGCTAAAAAAAACTTCGAATACGTACCATTAAATTTTCAGAAATTTCTGCATGTGCGGTAAACCCCTCCCCCCGCTAATGCCAAAGAACCTAGCTGTCATGCTCCCTTGAAAATGAAAATTTTTAAATTTTAATTAAAAGTGAATGCATAATTCAAAAATCTTTATGAAAATTTAATTAGTCTTTACCGTCCACGAACCAAGAGGTCACGTCCCCTTTAAAATCATAGTTTTTTTTAAATTGAAAGTCATTTTACTAAAATAATCATTTCAAAAATTATGTTAAATTGAGCGTTTAATTAGTGTTTTTACCGTCACCCTACCTCCCTATTTCAGGCCGCGACTCGGGATTCAAATGCGCCGACTGCTCGCTGAAGTTCTTGACGCCTCGCAAGCTGAGGAAACATCGAAAGATGACCCATGTCTTTACAAGAACATATCATTGCCATTTCTGTGATGAAATCTTCATCTCTGAAATAGCTGTACGTTTTGAGGAGCCTTTCGTATTTTTTGAGGTTCCAGGTGACGACCCACGAGAGAATCCACACCGGCATCATCAAGTTCGAGTGCCAGATTTGTGATTATCGATGTGGAAGGTCCGTTTAGAGCCCGAAAAATGGGGGGCAAGCTAGCAGGGAAGTTTTAGGAATGTTGTGGCGAAACTGGGCAAAAATTCTCTAGGGATCACTGCTAGCTTGCCCTATTTTCTGAATATTCCAAGGCAAGCTAGCAGAAATCCTTTGGGAATTTTGGAAAACAAGGGAAATTTCTCTGGGAATCGCTGCTAGCTTGCCACTGATTTTTCGGTAGCTAGGATAGGCAATCTAGCAGAGATTCTTTAGGAATTTGTCAGCACCGTTCCTAAAGAACCTCTGCCAGCTTGCCCACACCTCCCTGTATTTAGATACCAAGAAATGGAGCGTCACAAACAGGAAGAACACGGATGGAGATGCGCCATTTGCAAGTGAGTGTCTCTCCTTCTCTAGTCTAGAGTCCTTCTTTCCAGGGATACATTCGCCGAATGGAATGATCTGAAGAATCACACGATGCATTCCCATGGTGGATATCTCACCAACGAGGCCATGTCTTCTTGTACGTTTTCGGCGGTATTTAACGGTCTAAGGATGTCCGGCGACTTCGAGCAGTTCGGCAAAAATTTTGTTAAACCTGTCAATACCTGAAATTTTCCAGAAATCAAAATTCGCACTTGTTTTTGGATATGCCTCCATTTTCATACTAAACTTCTTGAGGTCGTTGGGCTTTTTGGCCTGGAGCTGCTCAACGGGGTCGAACAGGTCGAGATAAAAATTAGGCCACGGCTGGAAAAAGCCTAGAAATTACTAAAATTCTACATTTTCGCCGATTTTCTAGGGTGTTTTTGGTGTTTTCACAAAAATATGCTACAAAACCAGAAAATAGAATTTCATTTTAACAATAACTCAGTTTTCGTGAAATTTTCGCCACATTTTTGTCATTTCTTTGCTTTTCCAAAAAATGGCTGAACTGCTCGGCGTCGTTGAATTTATCGAACATTTTTTTGACCGGATTTTCCTGACGTAATTGATTAAATTCTCTATTATCGTGGCGTAACCAATAAATCCTCGTTTTTTTCAGCGTACATCGAGTCTCCCCGTGTGTGGTTGATGTTCAAGGGCGAGTGAAGCAGAGAGAAGGCCCACATTTTGAAGCCGTTTTAAATTTAATTTTTACCCTGTTTATCTTTGTTTGAATATAGATCTCTATTTGCCCTCTGTTTTGCTCTCGTTTTATCCTTGTCATGTTGATAAATTGTATGATTTGAAACGAAAGGCTCGAATTTGCTCCGAATCGATAATTTCAACGATTTATACATTAAAAATTTGGTATTTTTTGTAAAATTTAAAGTTTGACAAACTGATCGGTGCCTGGGTACTCGGGAAGTTGTAGTTTGTAGTCGGTGATGAGCTTCTTCGGAACGAATCGACCGCCCAAGTAGTGGGAACCCTAAAAAACAGCGTACTGAGGAAGGCAACTAGCAGAGATTTTTAGGAATTTTCCGAAAAACGCGACGGGCTGGAGGGGATTTTTGAGGAATTTTAACAGGAGGAAACTAGCAGCCATCTGAGGAATTTGCCGATACGGTTGTTCATGAGCATTTTTGAGGCTAACCAGCATTGATCATTTAAGAATTTTACCGAAAAGGGGAAGACTAGCAGCGCTTTTTTGCGGAATTTAGGCTGGTCAACTAGCAAACATCCTTGCGGAATGGCGATTTCACGAAAACAACGAGCAGATATTATTTAGGAATTTTACCAAAACGCGGCAGCCTAGCGGGGATTTTTACGCAATTTTATACGAGTTTTTAGCGGCGATTCTTGTGGATTTTTGAGCCCAACTCGCGGAAATCGTTTAGGAATGAACGCTGGCCTTGATCCAGCAAATGTCATTTGAGAATTCATTGGCACTCGGGCTAGCTGGCAGAGATCCTTTAGGCTCTGAAAACTCGTGCTCACCTCAAACTTTTCCATACACATTTTGGGTGTAGTGAGTGAGATGACGGCTGATGGGGAGAAATGAGGAGTGTCATCACTCGGATGGCCCTTCTCCACGTCCCAACCTAGCATTAGAATTTATAGGCTATTACAGGAAATAGATACCCGATGGAATATCGATCGAAAATATTGGCCGGCCGCTGTGTTGAATTGTACGGATCATCTCATCGAATGGCTCGCGGACAGGGGGTCTAAAAATTGAGATTAGAATTTATTTAGGTAGTTTATGGACCGATTATTTATAGTCCCTAAGAAACGCTGCTAGCCTTTAGTCCCTAGATTGTAGCTGTGTGAAACATTGGCCACTTGCCAACGAATTTCCGGTTTTTTCGAAGCCTTAGAAAAATCTGTGTGACGATTTAGGTGTCGTAACCGGTTTCCTCTCCAGACTATCGCTCGGTTTTTTTTCCATAAAAACTCTGCTAGGCTGCCCTGTCGCCAGTTTAGCGAAATTCCAAAAAAATGTTTTTTATTTGCCCAAAAATTGGTTGTTTATGGAAAAAATTTGCCAATGTTTAACTGTTTTGATGGTTTAGGTGTCGCAACAGGCTGCCCATCAACTGCCAAATGTGTGAATTTGCCCCTAATCGCCCTAGATACTCAATCTACCCTCTAGTATCCTCTAGGAACAATCCACTCGATCTGATATCCATGACACTACTAATCCCCCCACTAGTAGTAGTTGGGCAGCTGGCTTTCTCTGCGTCTCTCTCTCGCTCTCTATCTCTCTCTCTCTCTCTCTCTCGCTCTCTCTCTTCAAGTACCCTCCAATACCAAGACAATAAGTGGATGATGCCAATCTGGACCCAAACTTTCTCGTATAACTTTTTAGGCCATTAACTTAGGGGTTAGCCGAAAAACATAGAATTTTTGGATTTTTCAGGTCCCCAAGGATCCTTGCTAGTTGTCAGGCTATAAAAAATCGTGTAAATTAAATTTGGACAAAATTAGTCACAGCTCTTTGCCGTTAGCCTATAAAATTTGGGGGTTTTAAGGGAAATCTGTTTTTTGGTTTTGTTTTTCAAATTCCCCAAGAATCTCTGCTAGTTGTTGTTAGGATGTAAAATTAGACATACTTGAATGAGAATCCGAAGAAAGCGTCGACAACGAATGAATATTGATCGAGTTCGTTTTTGGCCGGCAATCCTTCCTTGACTTCAATATCCATTCCTTTGCATTGTTTCACCAGTTGACCCATCAATTCATTTCGGGAGGCCTTTGGGTAGATGATCACTGGGGTGTGGCCCTGAAAAGGAGAGGAATTTTAGAGGATTTCCCACTTGCTTTAGCTATGAAAAATGGAGTTTTAAATCATTTTTCGCGGCTGATTTAAGATTTTCGTTTGCGTTCTTTAGTTTTCCTGCGGCTCATTTTTTACGAAAATATGATTCAGATGCAGTTCTGGCCTCGATTTGGCTATTAAAAAGAAAACAGTTTTTCCGGCTTATTTCAAATATGTACTCCGTTTTTGCCAGGTTGCTATAGTGTTTGAGATTTTGGCCAATTTATGGTGTAAAAATCTAGTTTTTATGTGCCGCAATAACTCAAAAACTTCGAAATTAGCGTAGAAAATGGTCTAGAAATACGCAAAAAACGTACAAACATTTGTAGATGACGCGCACACACGAATCCATCACCCCCATTATTCCCCGGGCCGCATAGGATCAGCACTTTTCCTAGAGGAATGATTTGTTTAGATAAAAACCGCGTTTTCTAACCCTTGTTCAGATGTTTGGCCCAATGATGTGCAGCTTGTGCAGATGCCAGCCCGGCCAATTCCATCAGCTGTTCCACTTTGAAGCCATACGTCGAGAACAGCTCCTCGTCGATCTTTTGCGCTTCTTCCTGCCTAGAAATTAAGATTGTTAATTTAAAGTCTTTCCTTATCGTTTTAGGTAGCCTTTCAAGATTTTAAACGTTGCTAGACTTTTAGAAATTGGTTTTATTGACGAATTATGAATTTGAAAGCTCACCCTCAGCAAGAAAAGTTATTTTTTGCGAGTCTTTAGGATGTTTTTAACTTAAAATCCTTTCTGGTCGTTTTTAGATAGTTTTCCCGCTTTTTTAACGTTGCTAGACTTTAAAAATCGTTCTATTTGCTAAAAACTAGCCATTTTAGCGAAATTCAAGACTTTCTAACCTGAATTCGTGCGTGAAACGACTTGTTGATGATCACTAGGCATTTTTCGAGCTGGTTAAAAGCGTTTTTCAGGTAGAAAACGATATTAGAAAAGGTTTTTTAGGTTTTTCTAGGGCAAAATCAAGGGTTTAGAAGCTTCTAGTCGATTTATGGGAGGTTTTTCTACGTATTTCACGCCTTTTTGGCCATTTTCAGCTCAAAAAAAAATATTATTAAAGGGCATTTTGGTTTTTCTGAGCTTTCTCTACGATTTCTAGCGTTTTTTCTTGCTTTCTTTACCTAGAAAACCGGATTTCCAAAACTTACTTGAGATATCTGGCGGCCATCCTGTTTGGCGTTGTGTTGTAGCAGAGATTCTGGAGGAGAAGTCGGCTTTGTTTGCTTGTGATATTCCTTCTAATCAGTGTGGCAAATACCATCCAGTTGACTGCCAATAGAAAGAAGAACAGATCGAAAACAAAAACAACTTCTTTCTCTCTCTCTTTTAGTCTTTTGAATTGGCGGCTGTGTAGGGTACAAACTCCATTCACCGCCCGTTTTCTCGAGGCTCCAATCGGGTGGCGGGGGGGTTGGATAGAATCACGCGGGGCTTCGGTTTGGCTTGGCTTCGGCTAGGCTTGGTTTCGAAACTGACTTATTTTTTAGACTGACTGACGAGCCTGGGTCTTGGCTTGTTGTCTGCGGTCACTCACTACAACGTCCTTTCTCGGCTCTCGGGCTCCTCTCGGCGGAGCGCCAGAGTCACGCGGCGCTTGGCTTGGCTTGCTTTTTGGCTTCGAAAATCGGCTTAGTTTTTAGGCTTAGAAAACTTGGATTTTTAGCTTCGTCTGCGCCCTCCTAATAATCCGGAGTCCGGATTCCGAACTATCTGGTTGGTCCCGGCTCCAATGTGACCGGTATTGACTCACTAGAATCGCGCGGCTTTTGGCTTGGGTTGGCTGAGGTTTTAGGCTTCAAATTTGGCTTCGTTTTGAGGCTTAGAAAACTTGGCCTCGATTTTAGGCTTAGAATACTTGGATTCTGGATTTTGCTCGATCGTTTCTAGGCTAATATCGGGGCCGCGTGATTTCCCACCGGTCCTGACGTGGCTTCGGCTTTCCGGAAACGGGCTTATTTTTTAGACTTAGAAATCTTAGATCCTATGCTTCTCTTGTCCAATCGGTTGAGTCACTTTCCAGCCGGTTTTTCGTCTAAATTTTAATTTTTTTAGTCTACCACTTTCCGAGCGACTTTTTATAAGATTTTCCCTGTAATTTAGATTGGCCTATGTCTGTCTCGTCTCAATAACACGTACTCTCTCGCCAAGCGGACCCAAAGATCCCTAAAACTGAATATTTAGGTTCAAAGTTCATGGTTTTTCGCCGAATCGGATTAGTATATCTTGTTAATTAATTCCAAAATTATTTTAGGGGATTTTTCGTTGTTTATCACATCAGGATTGGGTTGTTATTGTGGATTCTAGGTTCTAGAGGAAGAGAGAGAGAGAGAGAGGGGGAGAGAGAGAGAGAGAGTCAGATTTGCGCCCCTCCTCTTTAGTGAAGCCATACAAGGGGGTCCTAGGAAGCGCACTCATTTGACTGTATGTCTGTTTGTTTGTATGTCTGTCTGTTTCTCCCTTTATCTGTCTGCCAATATTCCAATTTCATATTTTAGAAACCTAATTTATTTATATTTTTCGCTTCCAGGTACCGCCCAAAAATGCAGTTACCCTCAATTGTTTCAGTCCCTCTGTCAGTCTGCTTCCTGTTTGTGTGTCTATCTCGTAAACTGTCTGCCACTGAATCCATTACCCTATACAACTTTCCGTATATCCGCTTCCGCTTCCTCTTTTTTCAGTCTCCATCTTCCACCCATCCGTCCATCCATCGATCCTCGTTGTGGCTGTGGGTGTCCTTTTCCATCTGTCTGTCTCTCTCTCTGGTTGGAGAGAGAGAGAGAGAGGCGCCTGAGGCTATAGGGTGCCCGTGTGGGGGATGTCTCGCGCACTCACACCCCTCTTTTTCCTCTCTTTCTTCCCGCCTTTCCCTCTTTTTCCAGCCATTCCGATGGATTCTCCCTGTTTCCCCCATCAAAACAACCGCTAATTTACGTGTTTTTAGGGTTTAAAGGACTTTGCAAGTTAAATTTTTCTATGGATTTGGGTCCTGACCACCTAAAATTTGGCTAAAAATTGCGATTTTTGTTTTTTAGGTAATCTCTGGGTTTTGAATATCTTTGGTTAGTCAAACTGTCTGCCAACGCAAATTTTGGGCCCCAATAATCTCTGCTAGCGTGCCGGGCTGACTAAAACAATCCAAAACTTTCGCCAAAAATTCAAATTTTTTTGACATTTTCCTCCTTTAGAAAGGTACCAGGTTTTGAAATAGATTTCGATGAACTTAGGGCACCATTTTCTCTTAAATTTTTGCAGAAATAAAACCGGAAGTGGCATTCCATTTCCGCCACCATCCCCGCCCGCAGCACCCTAGGCAATCGATATGTGTAACCAGAGACTGGGGAGGAAGGAACACCCTTTTTCTCTCTCTCTCTCTCTATCCCTCTCTCTCTCTTTCTCTCACTCTCGCCTTCATTAATGCGTAAATCCCAATCCATCCGAAGCCCCTTCTCCCCTCCGTCACTTCCTGATCCCTTTAATCCGCCCTCGGTTGTAGGTCTGTCTGTCTGTGCAATTATTATGATTCCTCTTTCTCTGGCTCCTCTCTTTTTCTATCGCTTAAAAACATTCAGCCTCCCAATTATTGCATGTCGTAATTAATTAGGCGGCTGTTCATTTTGGTTTGTCTTTCTGTCGTTCCATTTGCCTGCAATTTCCCTCTGGCTTAGGATTTATGACTCGGCAAGGTTCCAAATTACGCACTGGCCGGTTTTCTGAATATTAAAGGGAGGATGACAGCATTGGGTGGGGGAGCTAGCAGGGATTCTTGAGGATTTCGGGATAATTGCGCATTAATAGGTGGGAAATCTCGTGATAGGTCAGGCTAGCAGCGATTTTTGAGGATTTTTAGCCTAAAAAAATCCTCAAAAACAACTATTGTTTTTTGGCTAAACCACTTGATGGGTGGAGGGCTTGGGGGGCTACACGTGATCCCCTCCCTTTCCTTATCAGTCATCTTTGTCTCTTTCACTGTCTCTCTCTCTCTCTCTCTCTCTCTCTCTCTCTCTCTCTCTCTCTCTCTCTCTCTCTATCTCTCTCTCCAATCTATCGAACACCTTCCCCTCTACAGTCCCCATCCCGTCCAAAAAGGCGCAAAAGTGGCGGGAAAATACAGTTCCTCTCGAGAGCCTATTTATCACCATTTTCTGCTTATTTTATTGTTTTTAAAAATTTAATTATGTTTTATTACGGCAGTAAATTACGTTTTTCGATTTCCAAAATTCTCGGTTTTTCGAAATTTTGCTTGTGGGTGGTCGAGATTACCGCAATTTTTAGTTATGATTTTTATAGCTTTTATAACTTATATATTTTATTAAAATTGATTTTTTCGGAAAACTAGTACTTTTGGTTTATATTTGGAGTTAAAATTCCTTTATTTTTATTGTCCTGAACGAGCCAATGAACATTTTTGGGCTAATTTTTGGCTCGAAAACACCGAACCGTTCACCCTGGCTGCGTTATCCCTTTTCTTTTTTTTACCACGCACAACCACATCCCGATCCTCTTGTCAATGATGATTTCCGGTCAGGACAGGAGAGAGCAAGAGAGAAAGAGACAAAGAGAGGGAAACGACTGAATTCCAATCCAATTTTGCACGCCTACGCATCCTTTTTAATTATTTGGCATCTTTTGCTGCCATCTTTGGCCTTGTCAGTCCCTTTAAAAAGTAATTTTGCAGGTTTTGAGATCATTAGTGCGTAAACTGGCAGCCAGGGAGCCCATTCACAGTGAAAAAGATTTAGGAGAACCAAATTTTTGGGGTTTTTCGCTGTGTTCTCTTGCTCTGGGATAGACGGGACTGACGCAAATGGTCTCTATGTTTTCCAAAAGTTGAAGCCCCTTGTGGAAGAGAGAGACAGAGAGAGAGAGAGAGAGAGAGAGAGAGAGAGAGAGAGAGAGAGAGAGCGAATTGATATATTCGAGTAATCACCTTCCCCTCTGTCTGCCTCTCTCTGTGTCTGTCCCCTCCTCTCTCTGCCCACTCCCTCTCCCTTCCCTTCCCTTCCCCTCTTCTATCGATCGATATGTGCAGAGGAGGGGGGCGTCGTGTCTCTCTTCTCTTCTCTCTTTTGGACCCACAAATGGAAGTAGAGGAAGGAAGGGCTATCTATACAATATCGTTTTCTCTCGATATTTCTGTCTCTCTACACTCTCTATCTCTCGTTTTAGCTTTAGTTTTGCCAGCTATTTCGTTAAGCGACTTTTCTTGTTTTAAAACCCGATTTTCTAGGCACTATGATGTTTTTATGAGGATTTCTAGCTAGAAACTGGCTCGTTCTGTCCCTTTTTCTTAGGTAGCCTCCTTTTTGTCGTGTTTTATAGCTGATATCGATGATTTTGACGAGGTTCTGAGGAGAGCAAGTTTTCAAATTTCAACTTTGGAATTTGAGTTTCTCTGGCGTAGCCTGGCTTTTTCGAGCCTTTTTGCTTCCGAAACTAGCTAGTCTTTTTTAGCTTTCTATTTCTCTGACATCTTGAGCCTAAATTTTTCAATTTTAGGCGTTGTAGAGTGTATTCGGAAATTACAGTTTTGTTTTTGTAATTTTTAGCGTGGTCGTTGGACTTTTTGACCCTAGAATTGAACGTTTTTAGGTGTGAAAACACGCGCGTTTTTTTGCGTTAGACAGCAAGCTAGTTTAACGTTTTTAATATGCAATTTATTTAGCTTATTTTCTGATTTTGAAAGTATCGATTATTGTCCACAATAAACGTGGGGTTTTATCAATTTTTGAGTTTTTGGATTTTGCTTTGGTGCTATCCTTTTATCGTGTTTTCTTTGTTCGATTTTCTTCTTTTCGGCGCAAAATTAATGCGATATATTTTGCAGAGCGTCGATCGACTTGGTGGCCATTTCGTGTGAATCGGTCGATCATCTCTCTTCACTTCTCTTCTCTACTATTCTGCTGGCCGGCTAACGGCTGCAACACACGGTACGCCACAGAATTTGTAGTTTGTGGCCGATTTTACGTTTTTTAGTTTCCAAAAATCAAAAAAATCGATTTTGCCCGATTTTAAATGTTTTTTTCTTGCTTGATAATTTGTCTGCGTCTTGGTGGAGAGCGGATTTTGAAAAATATTGCTTAAAATAGCTAAAAATCGTAAATATGTTTAAATTTACCTATTCTATTTCAGAAGGCGTGCCTCGTGTGCTTCTCTCTTCTTCCCTCCCTTGTTCTTCCTTTTGACAACACCCGTCAGCCACCCTTTGGGGGAACCGAGAAAGCGCCAAGTACCGTTTTTCTACTGTTTTTATGCGAATTTTTTAAACAATTCAGGCAATTTTAATCGAATTAGAAACAGCTAAATTTATTTCGTTAATCTTTTTTTGGCTTTTTGGGTCTATCCGATTACGCAATAAAATTCACCGTCGATAGGATCGGTTTTTTATTTTTAAAGCAATAGTGAATGCATAGAATTTTTCTTGAATATCGTAGCTGTCACGCCCTCTTTAAAACACCGTAATTTGCGAATTTTTAAGCCCAAAAAATTGGAATTTTAGAAGTTACCGTATGCCTAAAAAATCTAATTTTTGAGCCAGTATTTTCAGATTTCAAAAATACTGTAAACCTAAAAAAAGCCATTTCTTTACCATAAGATTTTTTCAGATTGGAGGCGATGAATAAGCAGATGTTGTCGTGTTCGATAAAGGGGACCAGACAGACGACGACCGTTGTCGCCACAGAGGCCAGGGGACCTGATCAACAGGTTTGTACTCATCTATAGGCCTTCAATGGGCCTTTAACACATCAGTATACGCTCGATTCAGCGCATTTAAAATTGAAAATTAACCAAGCCTGATTCAGAGGTTGCAATAACCTAAAAATATACACATTTTGACACTTGCTGTAACCTTTAAAAGACTTAAATTACCTTAAATTCTTTAAATCAAATTTCTATGGCCTAACTGGCATACAGTAACCCAAAATCCGGGTTCTCCAATCAAAATATGCAAATCTAATGGTTTTTCGAGGGCGCTTGACGTCGGGATTTGTAATTTGTATTCAGACGGAAATGCCTAAATTCTTGTATAAAATCTGGCGATTTCATGAGATCGGCGGCCAGTCAGTTTGGGTGACTTTTCTTCCCTCGTTCTCGTTCTCTCTTTCTGTGATGACCGGAAACGCAGACAAGTTGAGGGATGGGTAGGGAAGGGGGGAACATTGTTTTTCCGCGTCAATACACTGTCTGTCTGTCTCTCGCTCTTTCGCTGTCTCTCTCTCTCTCTCTCTATCTGCCAGTCAACCAATCCAATAAACGATTTTCCATTCCTTCTCAAAATACCCAATGATTTTCGACGAAATCAGCGATTTTCTGGGAGTTTATCGATTTTCTAGACGGCCCAATTCACTCCACAATAATCTAGGCTAAGTGCCCTTGAATCCCTAATAATCCCTGCCGGCTTGCCCCTTCCTCGATGTTTTCAAACGGTGGATCCATTATTCCCCGATGATCTCTGCTAGCCTGCCTTCCCGCTTCCTTTAGGCCATGGATTTCCTCCTAAATTTTCTCTGCTGCGTACCCCGGGGTCCCAAATGATCCCTGCTAGCTTGCTTTCCCGGTTAATTGAAAGAGTTCCGATTTCATAAAGAATCTCTGCTAGTTAGCCTCCTTGAAATTGGCCATTTTTGGCTTGCCGGGGCCTTTAAATGGTCCATTTGACTGATCTATCACTCCAAAATGGCCCCTGCTAGCTACCCTCTTTTCCCAAATGATCCCTGCTAGCCTTCCCTACCTGCCATTTCCCTTCCCGCTGCCTTTAAAGACTCGGGGGTCCGGTCTTTCCTGTGGTGTGTGTGTGCTTTTCCCTCCCCCCTCTGGGTCCATTTCTTAATCCCCTTCCCCCTGCCCCAGCTGATGATTGATACCCATTCCCTTCTTCCTTCTATCTTCTCTTCTCTTTTCTCTCCAACAATTTCTGCCCCCAACTATTGTTTTTTAGCCCTTGGAAGAAGCCCTAACCTAGTCCAGCTTTACCTCCCGAAAATCGAGCGCTCCATTTCTGGCTTCAAATCTAGTTTAAAGGAACTTTGAAGCCAAATCCATAGCAATTTTTGACGGATTTTGCCTTGCATGTCCCTTTAAAGTCCGGCGTTTTGGATTTATCTTTTCATAGCTGGGCTGACTGGATGACAGGATAGGCAATAGTACCCCAAAAAGCGTTTGAAAATGGGTCCCGCAGCGAATTGGCCGGTTTTTCATTTTTTTGGCTTTTGCCTTCATAACTCCTTTCATAATTGATTTTTATAGATTTCCTTCGGCCCATATTTTGCTTTATCTGGATTCCAGACTAGCGAAAGAAACCCAATAATCGCAATAAAACTGGTCCCGCAGCGAATTGGCTCGGTGCCAAAAACCATGTTTGACTTTTGCCTTCCCAATCCCTTTAAGATCCATTTTCCTCGTTTTCCTTTCTCCTTTCTTTAAACTGCCCTCCAGTCTAGCGAATGACAACGATGCGAGGACGATTGGGGCGATAGAGCGAGAGAGACAGCTAGAGAGCGATAGATAGAGAGTGATGGGTGCAGGTCGTTCTGTGCTCTCTTCATTCTCTCTACTCTCTACCCGTTCATCATATGATGTCGCTTCACAACATCGTCATCTCAAAAAAGGAGATGAGAAGCGGAAGAGCTCTCTGCCTGATATTCTTCATATTCATCCTAAAAATGTTAGAAAAATTCGGATTAAAAATTACCGTAATCCTACCGTAATTAAAATATTGCAAAGGCTTAAAATTCACTACTTTGTCTTTAAAATTAGCTTACAAAAATACCGTAATTTTCAGCAAAAATCACAAATATAAAAATGACCACTGTAATTGGGAAAAGTTAAAAAATTACCGTAATTTTCAGAAAATAATGACAAATATTTAAAAATTCCTATTGTAACTGGGAAAAACATAAATAAATTTAAGATCTAATTAAATGACCATATTTACTGTATCCTTTTTTGCAGGTGGAGGTGACGTACAGCGACTTGAAGGTGGTCGGCAATGGATCATTCGGGGTCGTCTTCCTCGCCAAACTTCAGGATACCGGTGAACAAGTGCGTTTTTCTTGCTCGATTCCGGTCAGCTGGCTGCCAGCTCGGGGTTTTCACCACATAGGCAGGCTAGCAGAGACCATTTCGGAATTCCAGGGTGAATTTTTAAGTAATTTTTCGACTAAATTTTGGTCAGTTTAGCGTTTAGTCGCTTTGAAAGTTTTGGGCAAGCTAGCAGAGACCATTTGGGAATCATTTTCACTAAATTGGTTGCCAGTTCCGCCTTTCGCGCGGCTAGGCAGGCTAGCAGAGGCCATTTCGGAATCCCCGGGGGATTTTACGTGATTTTTCCGCCCTCTGGCTGCCATTCTAGAATTTGGTTCGTCTTAAAAAGAGCAGACGGACTATCAGGAATCATTTTTGGCTATCTGATTGCCAGTTTTGCCGTTTTGCCTATGGTGGGCTTGAAAATTCTAGGCAAGCTAGCAGAGACCTTTTGGAGTGTTTTTTTTTTGGAAACTGGATGCCAGGTTAGCTTTTCGCGATCTTGAAAAGACCGGCAAGCTAGCAGAGACTATTTGAGTGTTTGAAGGTCAATTTCCGCTTTTTCAGGTAGCAATCAAGAAGGTGCTGCAAGACAAGAGATTCAAGAACCGCGAACTCCAAATAATGCGAAAATTGACCCATCCAAATATCGTGAAATTGAAATATTTCTTCTATTCTGGAGGGGAGAAGAAGGATGAGCTGTATCTCAATCTAATACTCGAGTGAGTTCTTTCTACCTTTATTTATTCACCGGAAAGTCAACGGAACCAATTCCGGCCGGTGTCCGATTTTCGGTACTTTTCGCTTAGCGTAGCTTAGCTTAGGGAATTTTTCCTATCAATAATATATAGGTTTTTTTATAGTTTTTTGGCTTAGTTTTTATGTCTAGAAAATTACAAAACACCGAAAAATTCGAAAATTTTGACTTTTTCATCCCCCCCCGCCCTGCACGAGAAAAGTTCCCAAAAACCGGAAACTGACCGGATTGGGACCGGATTTTGCCCGGAAATGTTGGATGTTCGAAACCGAACACAATAGGCCGATTTCCAGCAACTTTCCGGTGGATCCTTCACCTTTTTCTGCTTCGAATCCCCAATTTGTATAATTTCAGATACGTACCGGAGACGGTGTATCGAGTAGCGCGTCATTATATCAAACAACGACAATCAATTCCAATGTTATATGTCAAATTATATATGTATCAACTATTCAAAGCATTGGCTTATATTCATGGCATTGGTATGTTTACTTTTGGAATATTTGTAAGGGGACGGCTAGCAGGGATTGTTCGGGAAGCTGGGTTTCTTTTTATAATTCATCCGCCGCAAAGCAGAGATTATTAGGGAAAATCGGATTAATCATTTTATTTAGATCTCTTGGAAAGTCAGAGGCCAGCTATCAGAAATTATTTGGGAAATTTGATTTGATACTGCGATTTATTTTGCTTTTGTTTATTTAGGGCCAACTGGCAGGGATCATTAGGGAAAATCGGTATTTGCGCGTCAACTAGCAGAGATCATTGGGGAAACCTAAAAAATCATTGTCTGAAAAAAATTTGCATTTTTTTCAGGTATCTGCCACCGTGACATCAAACCCCAGAATCTGTTGATTGATCCGGATAGTGGCGTGTTGAAGCTGTGCGATTTTGGATCCGCCAAATATTTGATTCGGGTAGGTAGCGATTTTCCAGTTTTTGGGGGAATTCTCGCGGGGGGTTTTAAGCAAATTAAAGCCGGATTTAAACCGGAAATCGACCGGTTCGTTCCCGGGCAATTTTTGGCTTAAAATTCAGTAGAAAATGCGAATTTTCTTTATTTCAGGACGAGCCGAACGTCTCGTATATCTGTTCTCGATACTATCGTGCCCCCGAGCTAATCTTTGGCGCTACAAACTACACCAATTCCATCGATATTTGGAGTGCTGGTCAGTTAGCTGATTTTTCATTTTTTCGTGATACGGTAATTTATGAAAAATCGAATTTTAGGCACGGTATTCGCGGAGCTGCTCCTCGGCCAACCGATATTCCCTGGAGATTCCGGTGTCGATCAATTGGTTGAGATTATCAAGGTAAGTCTCGGCCTCCACAAGTTCGAGCAGTTCAGACAACCTTTCTCCCTCTCTATCGCTCTTTCGCTCTCGCTCTCGCTCTCTCTCTCTCTCTCTCTCTCTCTCTCTCTCCCTCTTTCGATCTACCGTAGCCCAGTTGATTTTTTATTATTCCCTTTATTATCTATTTTTTCAGGTCCTTGGCACCCCATCAAAAGAACAAATCCAGCACATGAACCCCAACTACAAGGAGTTCAAATTCCCACAAATCAAGGCACATCCATGGTCCAAGGTAGGCAAAAAAACCTAAGTTATGAACTGTTTGTCTAAACTGACATCCAGCTTACCGTATTCCAGCGAAAAACGATAACTAGATAAGGATTACGGTATCGAATTGCAGGTATTCCGAGCGACAACCCCTCCCGAGGCGATAGATCTCATCTCACAGATCATCGAATACACTCCCTCATCTCGACCAACACCACAGGCTGCATGCCAACATGTTTTCTTTGATGAGCTGCGCAATCCAGGTACGCTAGACTACGTACCTTAGGCTACAAACCACAAACTTGGAAAATTAGCGTAAAAACGTTAAAAACGCGAAAATGCGGGGTTTTTTTGGCAATTTAATAATTTTCTAAATTCATTAAAATTTTAATAGAATTTCGGAATTTTCAAAATGTTTGTTAACCATAAACTACAACGTTTGCAAAATTCGTTGAACCTTTTTTAACAAAATTTTGTGATTTTGTGGTCCTTGTAAGCGGAAAAATGGTTTTTTTGCCTTCTAATGAATCTAAATTTTTCATAGTTTTTGAATAGGATCTTAATGTTTTGGAAAACATCAAAATCTAATTTTTAGACCCTTAAAACCACGCGATTTTTCAGAGACAAAATTGCCGAACAACCGGGCCCTTCCCCCACTCGATCACCCGGATACGGAGACGGCCATTGGACAGGATAGCTGAGGGATTACTGTAGGGCCAAAACAGCTACCGTAATCCCCCCAAAATCTCCGATATATTGCTGCGAAAAAGGAATATTCCGGGCTCATTCTCTGCGTCTCTCTCTCTCTCTCTCTCTCTCTCTCTCTCCTCTTGCTCCCTCTCGCTAGTCAGCCTCGTGATCATGCCCCATTGTATATTTTGACCCTTCTACCGTACCCTTTTTCTCTCTTTCTCTCCTCCCTCTCTCCCTCTCTATTTATTCAAGCGAGCTTCTCTCTCCCCCTACCGTAATCGCCAATACCCGCCCAAAAATTATTTGCGTATTTTTGGCTGATTTTTGCCGCATCGAATTGGATTTCAATGTGGTTTTAAAGGGATGGTGACGGGCTGAAAACTGTCGTAATTGTCGCTGCTCCTTCTCTCCAGAACCAGGGCAAGCCAGCAGAGGCCGTTTGGGACTTTTCTGGCCTTTCGCAGGCTAGCGGAGGCCGTTTAGAGATTTTCTCGATTTGGGTAGGCTGGCAGAACCTATTTGGGAATCCCAAAAGGTCAGGGCAAGCTAGCAAAGATCAGTTGGGAATTTTCCAGGACCTGGTAAGCCAGCAGAGAGCATTTGGGAATTTCCTGCAACCCTAAGCAGGCTGGCAGAGACCGTTTGCCAGCCCAAACCCCTGTCACCATCCCTTTCAATCACCCAATTTCTCGCTAATCTGGGTCCCACAGCGACTCGGCTACCGTACCCCCGAATTGCCCACAATATTCCTCCTCGTTACGTCTCTAAATTGTGCCCCGTTTGTACACAGATTTCCCCTCCCACCCGATTTCCCTACCGTAATCGATTACAGTAGGAAATTCGGCCATTTTTTGACTATTGTCATTTTTCGATCGATTTTTCCAACATTTTTCATGCGATTCCCAGTGTTTTTTTTCCAATCCATTCTGATGTCATCAAGATTCAACATTTTCCTTTTTTTCCAAAAAATTTTACAATTTTTGTAAAAATCTTTTTTACAAAAAATAATTTTGTAAAATTTTTCGACCGTCAATATTTTTGTGTGTATTTTCCATATATTTTTGGTGTCAATATATTTGTGTTGCTTGGATCGGCGGATATATAATTATTTTTATTATTCTTTTTTGTGTAATTCCCCTCCTCGTATCCCTCATATCTCCCCCCGGCTTCCCCCTCTTTTAAATGATTTAAATCGGGGGGTTTTAAAGGGCTTGGCAAGGCTTTTTATGGATTTTTTCGGCTATGGGATTTTGAAAAATTTGCCAAAATGCCGATTAATTACATAATTATTAATTTGCCAATCATTGCGTAACCGATTACGCCATTTTTAAGGCAGAAAAGCGGCGCGTGCGCGTTGCGAAGCGCCTGGATTTCCATAGCGTAATCGATTACGCCGGGTCATAACGGCCGTGCGTCGCGTGTGCGCTGCGGATCGCACATAATTCCAATGCGTAATCGATAATGACATGTTAACATGGCGGCGCGACGCGTATCTCCGAGTTTTCCGTAGCGTAATCGATTACGGCAGTTTTGCGCGTCGCGTGTAGCCCTGATTTTCATCGCGTAATCGATTACGCCATGTTTTAAAGTGAAAAACGGCGCGTCCGCGTTGCTTGTCACCCATTTCAACGCGTAATCGATTCCTGGTGGCCATATGTCGAGTGCACGTCGCGGCAAAAATCTAAATCCAAATTTTCAGCCTAAAAAATCGATGAATTGCCTTGCCAAACCCTTTAAAACCCCCCGAAATCTTGGCCACATTCAATATTTAGTAAATATCGATGGATACCAGTCTAAAATGGCAGGCGATCAATCGATATCCCTCCCTCCCCAAATGCGTACGGCGTTGATTACTTGTCTGGGATGATCTATTCCCCTCCCCCTCCCTATTCCCCCTAAATGTTGCCCCATCTACCGTACCCCTCCCCTCTAATTTTTCTTTGATGTGCAGCGCGCACCAATGTCTATTTTTGTATCTTCTATTTTTCGTCTTTTTCGTCTTCCCCTTGTCTCGTTTTTTCGATAGAAATAAATATGGAAAATTGTAAATGATTTGGCAAGAATTACGCTACGAAAGCGGGCTGCAAACTACAACGAATTTTGTGAAAACTACTGAATACAAACTACAACCACCGTGAAATTTTTCCACCTTGAATGCCTGCCATATGCAACGCCCCAGCCAGCTTTTCGTTGCGCAATCGATTATGCCGAAAAAACGACATTTTAGCGAACTCCCATCGAAAAATCTAAATCCCTGCAAATTTGTGGTTTTCTTTCCGTTTTTGGTGTCGATAAATTGAATTGAGAGAGGTAGAAGTTATTAGAGCAGAAATCGGGCTATTCGAGGGCACTTTTGACCTGTTTTCGGGCGGGGATTTTCGTTTTCTCTATCTGAAAATGCTGATTCTCAACGATTCTCCTATTTTTCGGCATATTATTGCTAGAACAAAGCAAATAAACCTTTGGGAATCGTTGGAAGGCCTATTCTATCGTCTAAAATCAGCGAAATACTCGTAATTTCGTTTCTACTATCTTTTATTGATCCTAATTCAATTTATCAATGCCGAAACACGGAAATATAACTATCGATTGCTTAAGTTTGTATTTTTTGCGATGGCCGTTCGCTAAAATGGGATTTCCAAACGATAACTCTACCGTGCCTTCAAGCGACGAGCTTCTCCTTGGTCTTCCGCTTCATCATGGCATTTCCTTGCTGCGGGCCATCATTTGCTTCTGCTTCTTTCTTCTGCTCGTGCTTCTAGAGACTGTCGTGAGCCGGCGAAACCTGAAAAATAATTGCGGAGAAGTAGTAGGGTTCAATCACTAACCGCTCTCCGATCACAACACTTCCGCTACGTGGTCCTGTCGATCATTGCCCATTGAGTGTTGAGGAAAACCTAAAAAAGAATGCGGAGAAGTGACAAGGTTCAATCACTAACCGCTCTAAAAATCAACGTCGTTTTGAGTCGTTTTTTGGTTCCTTGCGCTCGTAGTTTTTGCCTAAACAAAAATACAGCAAGAAAACTAAAATAAACTCGCCCATCTTGGCATGCGATCGCTCCTCGTCTTCAAGCGGGCTGCCCTTGTCCTTTCGGCGGATTGGGCTGGCGACTCCAACGTGTACCTGAAATTTATTTGTAATGCGCGTTTGAAATCAGAAAATAAGTGAAAACGAAACAAAGAGAACCCAGGAAAACGACGTCAACACGGCAATAAAGAAACCAACAAAGAACGATGAAATTGGGAAGGATGCGGTCGGGAGGGCTAGGAAAGCTCAAGGCTGAAAGGATCCATTTCGATATAGAAGGGAGGAACGAGCTCAAAATAATAAATTTTGCGCGTATCGTCGAACTGCAGTGGGTAGTCGGGTCCCAGAACATTTTCATGAAGCTGGTCGAGGTGCAACTTGAATTTATAGTTGATTGTGAGATCGAATGGAGGTCGCTGGCCATTCTTTGCTTGATCGAGTATTTGTCTGATGACATCGAAGAAGCGAGACGGCATCTCTCCATTCTCCGCGTTTCGCAACCAACAAGTCAAATTCTCGAATTTCCACTCGGCGATGAAATCGAACAGCTCCATTCCAACCGAGCCGATAATGATATGAGGAAAGGTTGACAAGGCCTGGATCAACCTCATAGTCATCGTGCACTTATAGCAAAGGAGGTGAACCTCCGAAGGTTTCAGCTTTTCAATGAGAATGGAGGCATAATCGGCCGATTGTTCTTCACCATGCAGTTCCAGGCACTCCACTGTGATCCCGTCAATATCCAAAAGACGGGCCTTCGCATTGATGGCCAAAGCCGTTACATGAGCTCCGTGAAGAAGTATCTCCAGGACTTCCGGTGTCTGAGCGTTAGGAGGAGAATACGGTTCAATCGAGGCCTCACAAGCCACGAACTGAAAGCGCTTGTCCTTCAAATATTTCGTTGCGTGGAGGAGATTCTGATGAACACCGGCAAGAGAGAAGAGGGCATCCTCGTCCAACGGTTCCAGAATTTCCCATAGTAGAACGACGGGAAGATCGTAGATTTTGGGCGATGATTTGTAGACTTCCTTGACATCATCTTGAGCACGTTCAACGTCTCCATCATCTCCCGCCTTTTTGTTGCTCTCCTCGACGATGACCAGGTCAGCCATATCGCCCTCTAGAGCCCTCATCTCCTTCTCGAATTCCGCTTGATCCATCGAAGCGACGGGTCGTTTTCTTACCTGAAAAATAGATTATATGGAAGGTTTTTCTATAAAGCTCCAAAAAAATTTGAAGGAAAAGCATTTAGGCAGATAAAAATAGGGGAATGAAAAATCAAAGAGAAAGGTAAGGGAGAAGGGAAAAAGGGGAGAAAGGGTAGTTGAAAACCCCCCTAAAAATCTCGACAGATACGCACCATCTGACAAAAATCGAGGAAAATTTTGTAAAAGAGACAAACGATTTTGGCGCTTTTTCGAGAATTTTCCTTAGCAAATATGCGCATGAAAATTTGCACGCGCAGAATCCAAAATACAAAAGCCATGGGGAGTTTTGGAGACCAATTCAGGCTTCTGCTTCATCGCTTCACCCAAATAGGTCATTATCATCCTCTTCTTGCCATTGTCCGTTGAGCGGGGAATATCTGAAAAAGAATTTCGGAGAAGTGGCACGGTTCAATCACTAACCGCTATCCAACAATGAACGTCGTTTCGTTGAAGCGATCCGTTCCTTTAGGCCGTCGTTTCTTCGCCTAAATAAAATCAAACGCGAAACGCAAAATAAACTTAGTGATTTGGGCATCCAATTGGCCGGCGTCCCCAACGGGCTCCAACGGCTTTTTTCAGCGGCGCCAACTCGTGGCTGTCGAGATGAAAACCTGAAATTTATTTTAAATTCAGGTAGAACAAATAAGAAAAGAGAACGCAGGAAAACAACGTGTAAGGGACAACGAAGAGCAAAAACAACGGCTATGGCCATAGCCGGAGATGGCCACATGGAAGGGGGAAACCAATCCGAAGCATGCCAGTGTCGATTTCGATCCGGATGGAAGGATCATGATAATAATACACGTCGAAAAGACCCATCCGCAGCGGGTAGTCGGGTCCCAGAACAGTTGGATGAAGCTGACCAGGGTGCAAAAGGCGTTGAAAGAAAATAACGAGTAGCAAAACGGGGCGGTGTCCATTCTTGTATTGATCAATCAACTGTCGGATGACATTGAAGAAGTGAGACGGCAACTCTCCATTCTCTGGGGTTTGCAACGAAAAGATCAAAGAATGAAATTTCCACTGGTTGATCAAGTCGAGCAACGCCATTCCAAATGGGCCTAGCTGAAGCACGGTAATCGTGGAAAGGGCTCGGCTCAACCTCGGAGTGATTGTGTATTGCCAATAATTCTGGAGGTCGACGCCGAAGGCGGGTTTCAGCTTCTCGATGACAATGGCTGCCCAATCCAAACGAGCTGACAGTTCCTCGCCAAATAGAGCAATAGTTCTCAGCCTGAGGCCTTCAACATCCATGGGACGAGCACCCGATTGGTAGTGCAACAAGCCGACATTTGCCCCGCGAAGAAGAATCTGCAGAGCTTCCGGCGTCTGGGCTAAACGCGGAGAATCCGGTCCAAGTTTCGTCACACATAGCACCATCTCAAAGTTCTTGTCCTTCAGATATTTCGTTGCGCGGAGGAGATTCTGATGAGCACCGGCAACTGAGAAAAGGTCCTCCTGATCAAGTGCTTCCATAATTTCCCATAGGAGAACGACGGGAAGATCGTAGATTTTGAGCGATGATTTGTAGACTTCCTTGACATCATCTTGAGCACGTTCAACGTCTCCATCATCTCCCGCCTTTTCGTTGCTCTCCTCGACGATGACCAGGTCAGCCATATCGCCCTCAAGGGCCCTCATCTCTTCCTCGAATTCCGCTTGATCCATCGAAGCGACGGGTTGGGTTCTTGTCTGAAAAGAAGATTAATTCAAAGAATGAAAGAAAGAGAGAGAGAGAGAGAGAGTGCAGAAAAGAGTTAGATAGAGCCACATCCCAAACTTTGAAAACAAATCAAATATATCAAATAGATAAAGCCATCAAAACTCTGGAAACATCTCTAGAAAAGAGACAAAGGCTTTTGTTGCCTTTTCGAAAATTTTCCTCAGCAATTCTGAAAATTTTCGCGCGCAAAATCCAACATTTTGGAGACCAATTGGGGTCTGCTTATTCTCTTCATCCAAATTCAGCATCCTCTTCTTTCCATCGTCCATCGAGAAGGGGGATATCTGAAAAGAAAGGCGGAGAAGTGGCAGAGTTCAATCACTAACCGCTATTCAAAACGAGCATCCGGAAATCCATGACTTGACAACGGCGATCGTCTCGGCGTCGTTTCCTCCCTGAATAAAATAAAGCAAGAAAATGAAAATAAAACTTAGCCATTTGGGCATCCGGATTGGCTTCACCGGATCGAATCGTGATTTGAGCTTGAGCTTTTGAAATTCCGAGCAGATACCTGAAATTTATATGTACCTCAGATTCAATCAAAAGAAGTAAAATCACAGCTAAGAGAAGGCAGGAAAACACCTTGAAATAAAAGCCTATTGCGCATTATCATGGGGAGAAGGGCTCGTTTTACTACTTGCAAATCATTTTATAACGTATTAGTCACAATTTTATAACGATGGTTCACAATTTTTTCACGGAAAAAGTGTCTACAATTCTAGGACAAATACAAAAAAAATGGCCGGTTTTTGAGCAAAATCTCGTACTTAAAAAAATTTAAGCTTTTTCGATGGTTTTTGGAGTTGTAACATCGTTAAGTGCCGGGGAAACGTTGACAGAACACGGATAAGCCTAGGGGTCTTCGTATACTTCTTATATTCGCCGAGAGACACATCAGCCGGTTTGAGCTTCTCGATGAGGATGGCCGCCCAGTCGTCGGTCTGTTCCCATCCTTTCAAATTAAGATAGCTCAGCTTCAGGCCCTCGACATCCATGGGACGAACATTCGAATGGTACGTCATACGACCGACTTTAGCGCCGTGAAGCAGGATCTCAAGCACCTCGGGGGTTTCCACAAATCCGACAGTGTATTTATGCCGCATGGCCACACATTCCATCTTGTCGAAAACCTTGTTCTTGAGGTATTTTGTGGCGTAGAGGAGACGGGGATGCATACGAGCGATCGTCAACAGATTATAGGGATTCCCTTCCAACGGTTCCATTATTTGCCACAGCAACTCTGGCGGAAGTTCGTAGATTTTGAGGGACGATTTGTAGGCCTCCTCGTTTTCCTCATCTCCCGTCTTTCCGTTGCTCTGCTCGACGATGTCCATGTCAGCCATATTGCCCAGTAGAGCGAGCATCTCCTTCTCGAACTGCGCCTTATCCATCGTCTTGCCCCGGGTGTTGATTACCTGAAAAAGAAGATTTTTGGAAATCGAAAATCGAGCTAAAACTAAAGAAAAATCAACGGGGCGATTTTTACGTCCTTTCCTATGCTCCAAAAAGCTCTAAAACTTAGAAATTCCGCTTAAATTTGAAAAATGAAAACGAAATCTATTTTAGAAATGATGAACAACACAATACGCTTAAAAAGCTATCTTTTGCAACTATTTCCTTTGTTCGTTTCTCTTTAAAAAAGTGTATAATAATGATGATGTTCGACGTATTTTCCACACCAATTAACTCAACATAGCAACTTTATTATTCTTATTATTATTAAATAGTGGTGAGAACATTGTGATGGGGATTCTGCACATTCAGGGGAGCAACAACAAAAAAGGAGGAGCACAAATGGCAAATGTTTTTTTGGAACCGGGAGACATAGATTGATCGGGAAGAAGAGGGGAATATTTAGAAAAAACCGTGGAAAATAGAAAGTACAGAATATAGGGATAGTCATCGAAAATTGGAGGCTGGTGATGATGGGTGGAGACGACGGATTGTAGATGAAGATGAGGAGGAAGTGGAAGGGGTGGATATTGATGACGGAGGGAAGAGAGCATTTCGGATGACCGGAGGAAGGCGAGACGTCAGATTCGTGTCTGAAAATCAACAATTATTCGACGCGTAGCTCCAAAGAGTTCAAGCAGTTCGGTCTGAAAATTTGGGATAGACGTCAAGAAGTTCAAAAAATAGCTGTACGCAAAATTTCAGTCATTTTAGACGTTTATTAACCGAGTATTAGACATTTTTCTCCGACAACTTCAAGCAGTTCGGCTTGAAATTTTGCAGAGGCGTGGAGAAGCTCAAGAGGCTCTTTTTCCCCGAAAATTTCTGGCAATTTCATCTCGTAATTTTTTGGTTACCGCAAAAATATCAATTTTTGCCCCAAAAATGTAATTTTCCCTCAAAATTTGAAAATTACTGCACCAAAAGCTTTTGCTTAAATTTCGAATCCCGGTACTTTCTGAACTTCTCCAGCTCCACGCAAAATTCCAGCCCGAACGGCTTGGAGTTGACGACCCCCGATGCTCCCTTACCTCCACCAGCGACCAATTCCCGTACGCGCCGCGTGCACAATTCGGAGAGGCGGAAGGGGACGTAGCTCTGGTTGGCCGTTCGCACCTGAAAGAATATAATAAAGTCGATAAAGAGGATATTGCCTGACCTCCTTGGTCTTGCCGAACACATCAACGACAGCATAGAGGGGCTTGTCGAGGGGGATTGGAGAGATGTCCGGGGAGACGACGACGCCGTTCAGGAAGATTGACAGGCTGAAAAACATATTTCATGATGCCGACAATGAGCATCAAATTGAAGCAGTTCGGGCCAAATTTTTATTTTAAAGATTATTCAATTTTTAAAAAAAAATCGGCTTGTCAATTCATTCTAAATTTTGCAAAAAGCTCCTTCGAATGAACTGCTTCCAGACGATGGTCATTTCCCAAGGTTTTGACCACCTTTGAGCTTTTAAATTTTGCTAACAAGGTCTTTCGAATGAACTGCCGAAAGATCTTGAGCAATTCCAGGGCCTTTTTGGGCATTTTTGAACCTCTAAATGTTGCTAAACATAACTAACATGAACTGCTTGAAATCGATGGCCATTTTCAAGATTTTAGCGCACTTTGTAGGCCCGAAAAATGCCTGCAAAACACACCTAGCCCTCATGGGATCACTGGGCAACGGCGTATAGTAGATGCCGATCCGGCTGCCAATATCCGTTGGAAGGGATGAGGGGGCGATTGATGATGTGCTGTCCTGGCATGAGAACGGCGAGATTGGCACCATCCACGAGCACCCCAGCAGGTCACTGAAAACAGAACGTCATTGAATAGGTTAAAAATCAAGTAATTTTCGATATTTAAGTTTTTAAAAAGGTAAACTCATGATTTTTACATTTTTAATCAGTTTTAAATCGGATCAGAACGCAAATTCAGGCTAAACTGAGCTTCCTGAGAGTTCGGATGTATTTTTAGCATTATAAAGCGAAAACTAAAACTTTTGAATTTGCGAAACGAGCGAAAATCGACGTTTTACGGTTTTAAATCTATTTACAAACGATAAACTACGCCGAAACTAACGAACCGAGTATTTGGATGATGATCCGGATCAGCCGTCGTCAACCCGACCCTCAAATGGCCAGTCCATCCGCTCTCGATGCTCTCGATCGACACGCAGAACGGCTCCTCGGGGCCCAGTGGACGATCCGAGAATACTAGCGCCTAAAAATTAATTATTTGGACACAAAAATGAGTTCTAAGCACCTTTTCATAGCTGGCACTCCTGAGGGCCCTCCTTCGATCCTCGAACAGTACAATATTCTCCCCGTGGAATTGGTGGAAGCGAGGAGGGATTTGGGAGGGACCGGGTTGCGTTTGGGCCGGTGGGGTGTAGATTCTAAAACCGTATCAAAAAATGGTTCTTTGCATTACCGGGGGGGAGGGGGGGGCTGAAATTTCTTTGTAAAACTTTATAGATGTCTAGTAGCTCAAGAGAACGTGTTTTAAAAGTGTTTTTAGTAAAATTTAACTAGATTTCAACCTGAAAAACCCTTAAAACCGTTAAAAAGTCTTGAAATAGTCGAAATTTCGGCCAAAATTCGAAGTTTTGATCATTTCCAATCAAAAATTTGTAAAGTTTTGACGTTTTGGGATTGTGAAAACCCGTTTAGAAACATGCCCATTATTTATATTTGAAAACTTGATAATGCCCCCCGATATTGCAAAAGAATCAAAAACTTTACAAACCTTGTGTTAGCAATTCGATGGACGGGAGAAGAGTCGAAATGATGGGCCGACGATCGCCCCACGGCCATCGCCATTTTTACCCTGAAAAGAGGAATATAAATAAAGAATTAAACAACATAGAAAACAAATAAAATAATTCGTATAGCAGGGAGTGGCACATGGCCCCTCGAGGCCTCTTCAGAATTGGAATTGGCAAAGGGCCAACGGGTGCCTTTTAGCGAGCAACAGGGCAGAGAGAGCACGCGAATTGAGAGGGAACAGACAGCCCAGCTGGCCTTCTTCACGTTGGAAAAGCATCGTCAGCGGTAGAACAACAACAAAATCGGCTTGTTTTTCCCTATATCTTGGAAAGTAATAGGTTTAGATGATCATGCAACTTTTTCGCGAAAAGCCGCTTTAAAAATACCCTGGAATCCGGCATTTTTGTTCTTTTTACTTTCTAAGAAACATAAAAATATTTTCTTAGTCTTTTTATCCTTATTTCGTCATGAATTTCACTTTCGCATTGGCTTTTAATGCTTAGAAAACCTGTTTTGATAAGATTGAATGGTTTCTATCATAGTTTCACAAAATTTCCCTTGAAATCACCCGAAAATTGACTAAATTAACGTTTTTTAAACCGATTTTCTGGCCAAAAAAACCTGAAAATCGTTTGTTTTTGTTTCTTAGTCTCCCTTTTTGCTCTGGCGCTGGCATTTCAAGCCAGGAACCTCCGAAAAAGCTTTATTTTTGAGTGACGGGGCGATAAGAGGGTCGTGGATTTGGAATTTGGCTCGTAAAACTCAATTTTTGTTCATTTTCTTTTCTAGCTGTTTAAAAGAACCTTAAAAACTTTGTTAGCCATAGGCATCTCTTTTTCTGGCTTTTTAAAAGTATTTTAGAGTCATAAAACCCTGTTTCGGCGAGTAATCTAAACTTTGTTTATTTTTCATGTTTCTAAGTTTTGAAACTATTTTATCGTCTTAAAAACCACTTTTTCAGCCCCCGAACGATGGCGTATCGAGGCAGAACGGGCTACGAAGAGGGCCATATGCAGCAACAATACAATGATGGCAAAGTGGACGATCTACAGCACAAAGTGTCGGCCCTCAAACGGATCACGCTGGATATTGGCGAAGAGGTCCGCAGTCAGAATCGCCTTCTCAACGACATGGACACCGAATTCGAGTCTGGCAAGGGGATTCTCCAGAATACAATGAGACGACTGGGCATTGTGGGAAAGAGCGGAGGCAAGAATTTGATCTTCTATCTGCTCGGCTTCTCCCTCTTCGTCTTTTTCGTCATCTATCTACTCGCCAAACGGGGATGAATCGACCAGAAAAGCTCGTGATTTTTCTACGTTACTTATATTGTCGGTTCTGTGGCATTATCGGGGGGGGGGGGCAATATTTTTGCTGTTTTTTAATATAATTTAACTAGATTTCAGCTGGAAAAAATTTAAAATCGGAAATTTTGGGTGAAGAAATCGATATTTTTTGTTTTTACGCTTCAAAATTGTAAAAAAACCACTTTAGAAACATTTCAGCGATTTATGTTAAAAATTGGAGATTAGGGGCCCCCGCTAATGCCAAAGCTCCATATCAACTGCCTTCATAAGTGTGCTCCCCATAAAACTTGAGGTTTCCCCCAATTTTTCTATTCGTAACAACATTTTCTGGTAGATATTATGTATAGAAAAACGCCCTAATTAATCTTTAGCCACTCGTTTCTCCTTTTTCATTTTCCGAAGCGATTCCGGCGGGGTTTTTGTCATTCAAGATGAAATTCGCCATTTCCAGCCCTCCGCAACCGCTTTTCCAGCTGTGTTTTGCCGCCTGTGATGATTCTAGCATATTCGAATTCCTATCCATCTTTTCTACTCTTTTTATTTGTGAAAATGTACTCGTTTTTGGGCTTTCCGTGATTTTTTGTGTATTTTTTCTGGCAAAAATGATGATAAAATTTTAGCCCTCACTACTTCCGGTCCACTGACAGCTAAACATTCAACGTGCACACGGGTTCGACAGCCAGAATTAAGGTTGGTTTTATAAATTTAATTGCCTTAAATCGTCAAATTAATATAGTTAATAGAAAAAAACTTGAGAGCAAAGCTCAAAAATGGGGCCCCGGGGCGAACATCTTTTTGATCGGGCAAGTTCTCATGGGGTCTGCTAGATAGATCTCTCGCGGGGTATTTCTTGTGTCGGATGAGAGAGAGAGAGAGGAAGAGAGATCTCTATCTCGGCTAAACTCGATCCACGCATTTTGCACCCCGAACGTACGCAACGGGGCGCCATTCACACGCTCCCCTTATTCGCACCGTTTTTTTCGGGGCGCATATATGGATTTTGTGAAATGCGTTGCAGCGCTGAAGGGTTGGTTTTTATAAAAAATATTTATAGGTAAAATAGACGTTGTTTTTCGTTTTTCTAGGTGATTTTATCGAAATTTTTAAGACGATATTGACCTGGAATTTAGCTTTTCCATTCTTTTGCATCTTTCGAAGTGAATTTATCGCTTTTTATGACTAAAAATGATAGAATTTTGAGCGTTTTTCTAGTTTTTTTGGGTAAATTCCTGTGTATTTTTCCGGCCTAAAACCGGTTTTGCAGTTTAGATTTCGGGTTTTTTAGCCTTTCTAAGTCTTTTTTGAACATTTTTCGGCCCAAAAACCATTTTAGAAACTTTGTTCGAAGAGCTTTCCCAAAAAAAATCGCCAAAGATCGATGATATTCGATTGCAAACCGGAAACTCCCCGGTGGTCGGCAAAACAGCTAGACTAACAAAAGCCATTATTGACACGTGTCTGGGTGGTCGGGATCTCTAAAATTCAATCCCCCCGGAACTTTCATGAAAATTATGCGAAAAGCTGCATTCTTTATTTCAAAATATCATATCAAATTTATGGGAAATGTTTACTGGTTCGTTTTTGCTTTCCGTTTAGTTGATTTTAGGGTTGAAAAAGAATTTTTTTTGAAGAATTTTCGCAATTTCTAGATTTTTTCTGAAGGCGGTTAGATAGAGAAAATAATTATTAAATTGAAAATAGAGAAATTAGTCAAAATTTTCTATTTTTTTTTATTGCTAAATTTCCCTGTTTTCCAGATCCGAAACCTCGTGGCTTATGGGCTCGAGCAATGCGCGCGGTGCTCCTCTTCGTGGCCATCGTCTCGTTGTTTGCCCTCTTTTCACAGGTTTTTTACCGGGATTGGACGGTTTCTAATTTTTATTTAGGCGCTATCTGATGGGATTACAACATCACAGAATGTCGTCGTCACTTCCGTTGATAAGGGCGTCATCGTCGACCCCACCAACAAATCACTACTATCCGGGTTTGGAAGACTTCTAACATTTTATTTCCGCTTTTTAGTGATGAAGCGGCGGGGAACAGCACCCTGGAGCAGAAAGGGGCGGCCATCGTCGGGAATGAGGCCGAGGAGAAGAAGCGATCACTTGTAAGGATTTTTAGATGTGAAAAATTCGGATTTTTGACGAATTTTCGATTTTCTGAACTTCAACTTGACCTAAAAAATTATTCAATGGTTTTTTTGAGAATCAAAGACTCGTTTTTTTCGTTTTTCTATTGGTGTTCTTAGCTTGGAAATGGCTTGAAACGCGTCTTTTTTGGACCTTTTGTCGTTTTGTTAAACCGCGAAAAACAGCGGAAACAATGGTTTTATTTGTAAAAATGGACTTTTTCTACTTTTTGCGATTTTTGCGCTATAAAATCGTGCTAAAAATAAATTTTTAGGATTTTTCAGCATTGTAACGGCTTTAAAACCTCATTTTTGATAGATTTTAGTTGTCCTAAGCCCTGGAAAACTCCCCGGAATAATTTTCACTATTTTAAAAGCAGATTTTTCAGCAATTTTTGATTTTCTCGCCATAAAACTGGCCTGAAAACTGTTTTTACAACTTTTATACCTAAAAAAACGCCAGTTTTTTAGGCGATCTTCTTCATCCTGTTCGTGATCGTCCTGGCCACCCTGGTGGTGCACATCATCATCATCACCCCGGTCCACTACATACCCGAAAGTCTCGCCATCGTCATTCTTGGTAAATTAAATAGCTTGTTTAGTGAGATTTGTATTATTTTAGGCGCGACGATCGGCTTCATCCTCTCCTATACCTCAAGGGATTGGTCAGAGATTGAGGCACTCTCTCCAGATATCTTCTTTCTCGTCCTTCTCCCGCCGATCATCTTCGAGAATGCCTACAATTTGAACAAGGTCGGCAAGCTCATCAAAAAGTTTATTTTTTCTATTGTTTGCGATTTTACAAAATTTCAAAATTTAAAATTCGAGCGGGGAAACTTTAGAAATTGGAAATTTTGATAGAACAGTCGATATTTTTGTAATTTTAATGATGTTATGAATTTTAAAGTCTAGCTAATTTCAGCGGAAAATATAGAAAAGTGGTAAAATTTTAAAAATTTAAATTTTTATCGAAAAGCCAGATTTTTGGTATCAACTATAATTATTTTGTTGTGGTCTCCGTTGTCTGTGTGAGCCGAATTCAACTCGAAGGGGAAGGAGCTAGAGCTTAGCTCTCTTCGGATTCGGATAGAGCGTGGTCAGAAACCCCAAACTGATAAAAAAATATGAAAAAGTTTTAGTAAATTAAAATTAACTTTGAAAGTGGCGCCTTAATAAAACGAGTGGGGGCCCCTCTCCCCGGGAGGCCACGCCCCCTTTCTCTTCGCCCCTCTTCCCCAGGCCCTTCGGGCAGATGCCTTTTGAGTTACTTAATACTTTAATACTTTTTAATTATGTTAATTAATTATTTAAATTATTAAAGTATCTGAAGCCATCGGGAAGGGATTTAGGTAGTTTTGAAGGGGATTTCAGCCATGGGGGTATCTGAAGCCATCGGGAAGGATTTAGGTAGTTTTTGAAGGGGATTTCAGCCATGGGGGGTATCTGGCCATCGGGAAGGGATTTAGGTGTTTTGAAGGGATTTCAGCCATGGGGGGTATCTGAAGCCATCGGGAAGGGATTTAGGTAGTTTTTAAGGGGATTTCAGCCATGGGGTATCTGAAGCCATCGGGAGGGGATTAGGTAGTTTTGAAGGGGATTTCAGCCATGGGGGTATCTGAAGCCATCGGAAGGGATTTAGGTAGTTTTTGAAGGATTTCGCCATGGGGGGTATCTGAAGCCATCGGGAAGGGATTTAGGTAGTTTTTGAAGGGGATTTCAGCCATGGGGGTATCTGAAGCCATCGGGAAGGGATTTAGGTAGTTTTTGAAGGGGATTTCAGCCATGGGGGTATCTGAAGCCATCGGGAAGGGATTTAGGTAGTTTTGAAGGGGATTTCAGCCATGGGGTATCTGGCCATCGGGAAGGGATTTAGGTAGTTTTTGAAGGGGATTTCAGCCATGGGGGTATCTGAGCCATCGGGAAGGGATTTAGGTAGTTTTGAAGGGGATTTCAGCCATGGGGGGTATCTGAAGCCATCGGGAAGGGATTTAGGTAGTTTTTGAAGGGGATTTCAGCCATGGGGGATATCTGAAGCCATCAGGGAGGTATTTTGGTAGATTTTTAACGGAATTTCGACCCGGAGGGGTATCTGAAGCCATCGGGAAGGTAGCTATGTTTTTGTGGGGGTTGGCTAGAGGAGGTATCTGAAGCCATCAGTGTAGTTATTGCCATGAAGGCATCAGCGTAAGGTAGGGATTAAATGTGGTGGTGTAGAATATGGAGGGTGGCTCGAAGTCCAGCCGATTGCAGTCGCGAAGCGGCTGTAATCGGCTGGTTTTTAATAAAAATCTATAGATATAGAAACAGTTTAATTTTTGAAATAGCAAATCTTGAAAATTTTATTTAGGGCTATTTCTTCTCGAACATCTGGCCAATCCTTACCTTTGCCATCCTGGGCACGGCCGTCTCCTCGTTTGTCATCGGGTTGACATTGTATATTCTTGGACAGGTATTTTTATAGCTATAATTCTACCGTAACCCTGTCCCTAGGCCTCCCTCGTCTACCCGCTGACCATCTTCCAGAGTTTCGCCTTCGGGTCGATGATCAGCGCCGTCGATCCGGTGGCCACGTTGGCCATATTTCAGGCCGTTAAGGTATCGTTATTATATGGGAAGTTATAAAATATTTTAAAATTCAGAAACTTGGCTTTTTGTTTATTTTCATACATTTCTAAGGAAAAAGAATAATTTTGAAAATTTCTATAATTTTTTGAGGATTTTTGTATACATAAAAATTGTAAAAAAGACTATAAAAATCGTTTAGATTTTTTGATTGGGCCACGGAATTAGTGGGAAAATTTTCTCCCTCCCCCCCGCTAAGAGAAAAGAGAATTTCCGATCCTGTCCTGGTCAGAATTTTCTGTTTCCCTAGGTGGAGGGCCTGCTGTACATGCTGGTCTTTGGCGAATCGATGCTGAACGACGCCGTCTCCATCGTCCTCGCATCCACAGGTATCTTAAAATTTCGGTTTAAGGTATATTTTTCTCCAGCGATCCGTCACTCTCACCCTCCATTCTCGTCCCTTCCTCCCGGCGAGATCCTGTACAGTGCCTGTTCCACCTTCATCGTCATGTTCACCGTGTCCGCCGTCTTGGGGGCGGCTATCGGGCTCTTGTCGGCGTTTGTAAGTAATTTTTACAATTTTAAGAATGGAAAAATGACTGTTTTCGATTTTTTTAAATCTTGAACTAAAAAAAACACCATTTTTCTTGCCCTAATTATGAGATTTAATGTATTTTATCTTTTTCAGCTGTTCAAACACGTGGACCTTCGCCGCACTCCCTCCCTAGAGCTGGCCCTCCTCCTCGTCTTTGCCTATATTCCTTATGGATTGGCCGAAGCACTGTCCCTGTCAGGTAAAAACGGCGTAATTTTCACAGTTTTTCCTCTAGGGATCATGGCGATCCTGTTCTGCGGTATCACAATGTCCCAATATACACAAAACAACATCAGCCCCGTCACACAGATCACGATGAGGCACACCTTCAGGACTGTGTCTTTTGTGGCTGGTCAGTTCAGGGGGAATTTGGTTTTTAAAGGAGCTTGAGAGGCTTGGCTAGGTTTGGATTTTCTCGCGACACGCAACGCGCGAGCCGCTGGTCAAAAGGCTGTAATAGATTACGCAATGGGAAACCGGGCGCGCGTTGCGTGTAGCGGTGCGACGGAAATTCAAGGAAATTTCATAAAAATTGATTTTTAATGGCAGTTTTATAGGGATTTTTCCACCCATGACACGCAGCGCGTCTTGAGTTTTTCCATTGCGTAATCGATTACGGCACCTTATAACGGCCGAAGAGGAGAGCGTTGCGTGTCGCGGTACGGAAAAATCTTAACCTATCCGTGACTTTCCCTTTCCCTTAAAACGATTTTGCCTAAAGTTTTTGCTGCCCGGATACGCGACGCGCTCAGCGCGGATTTCCGTTGCGTACTCGATTGCGCCGCTTTTTTTGGCGGGAAAGCGGCTGAAAAATCCATATGGGTTCCATGACTTACCTGCCCCTTTAAAAGGATTTTTGTTTCTGTTTCTGGGAGGTTTTTTGGTTGAAAAATCGGTCGATTTAAACCAAATTTCTATTTTTTTAGAAACGTCAACCTTCGCGTACCTCGGGATGGCCTTCTTCACGATCAAGCTCAACTTCCAGCCGTCATTCATCTTTTGGTCTGTGGTCAGTGTCTTTCTCTCTTTCTCTGATGCCTCCCTTCTCCCTATTTCAGATGTTATGCCTGGTGTCTCGTGCGTGTAATATCTTCCCCCTTTCATGGCTCGTCAATAAATGTCGTCGTGATGTGCAGATATCCATGAAGAATCAGATTATCATGTGGTTTAGCGGTTAGTCTTCGATTTTTAGATTTACTTTATGAATTTAAGGTTTTATTTTTATTTTATTTCCATCTTTTCAGGTATGCGAGGTGCAGTGTGCTTCGCGTTGGCTCTATACGTTGATGTGGACAAAGAGACGAAAAGTGTCCTCCTCACCACCACACTATTTCTCATTCTATTCACCATTATTGCACAAGGAGGTCTGGGTTTTTTTGGAATTTTAGAGGGCAAGCTAACAAAGGTTTTTGGGGAAAATCGGATTTTTGGGGATGGCAGGCTAGCAGAGGTCTTTGAGAAAAATAGGGGAATGGGAGTACTGAGGGCATTTTTGGCTTTTTTACGACAACCAGCAGATATTTTTGGGGAAAATTCCATTTTTGGCAGGGCGAGCTAGCAGGGACCGTTAAGGAAATCTGTATTTTTCAGGCAACTTGAAATTTTTGGCCAGCTAGCAGCGATATTTGAGGAAAGGGTCAATTTTACATGGATAGCAGAGATCTTTGGGCCCATTTTGAAGGGAAGTTTGTGGAACTCTGTATTTTTGAGGTGACAAACTAGCGGGTTTTGATTGCATTGGCAAGCAGAACCGTTGGGAAAATTGAATTTTTGGAGGGCTAGCAGAGTTTGTGGAGAATTCCCTTTTTTTGGCATGGCGAGCTAGCGGAGATCTTTGTGGAAATTGAATTTCTTTCATTTTTTTCAGGCTGTGCCCTGCCGTTCATCAACTACATCAATGCCCAGTATCCGGATAGACCGAAACAGATTGGGAGGAAGAGAAGAAGAGATGGAGCAGGAGGAGGAGGAGGAGAGAGGAGAAGCAGCGAGAGTGGCAGCGGGAATACGAGTGGAAATGAGCACCGGAAGAAGAGGGCACCTGTGCTCAGCAAGACACAGGAAATGGTACGATTTACTCGTTGTATTTTGTGGCTCTTTAAAGGGGCCGGGAAGGGTGAAAATCGTCCCTTGTTATGGACTGGGTTTCGACAAAATATTTCAGGCCAGCTATTTTGGCCGGAATTCGTTTGTCGAGATCTAGTGTATAGAAGAGGTCGATTCTCATGTTTTCCGGTCCCTCTAAAGGAGCTGGAAAGGCAAGAATCTGATTTTGCTAGGTGACAACTGTGTTTGGCGGATTTTTAGTCATTTTTGCAAATTGCCTTGCTAGTCCCTTTAAAACCCGGCTGGGGCAAAAATCGACCCCCTGCTTTGGGCTAGGTCTCGACAGCTGTTTTTTTGCCGGGTTTTTTGCGCTTTTCGCGACTTTAATGCCCGATCTTTTTCAGTCAGTATTCGGGAGTCATGACTGGACATCAACAATCCGTAAGCCATCAGCCGATGAGCGTCCAGCAGCCGTCTCCAATCTCATGAAAACACTCTTCGTCCGAAAATTCACTCATCAGGTTGGGAAATTTTTTGATACTTTTGCATTATCGAGGGTGGGTGGAATTTCAAGCTTTTTCAATTTTTTCTAGAAACTTTTTTGCACTCGAAATCTTGCTAAATTGCCTTAAAAACTAGTAAAATAGTTGGTATTACATGAAATTACAGGATGGACCCCCCGATAACGCAAAAGAACCATTTTATTACTCTGATCTCTTAATATAGATATTTGCTTTTCAGGAACGCGAGGAGAACAAGGAAAAGCTCCGCGTGCTCACCCAAAAGGCGCTGGAGAATGATGTGTGGAGCAGTGATGTGGATGAGGACGAGCTGATCGGGCTCAGGGACGGCGAGGACGAGCTGTTGATCACCACCCGGCTCTCCGTGTAGTCTGTAGTGTAGGCGAAAATTTGTAGTTTTTGTACCTACCCCCTTTTGTGATTTTTTAGAGCTTTTGTCGAGCAAATTCTGGTCTGCCTTTTTTTTTTTTTGGGATTTCTGTGAAAACGGGTATTTTCTCCTCTGCCTTGCCTTTCTCTCCATATTCACTTTTTCGCGCCTTTTTTGTGTGTATTTTTCTCTCCATGTTTTTACTGGTATCTCCTTGTTTTCTGTGACAATTAATCGCCAAAATAGCTTTCAATCGCGTGCCGAATAAATGACTTTAAGACTAGAAAATCGTGTTCAGAAAGAAATGCTTGACCCGGCATCAGATTGTAGCAAATCGTCCACGTCCAACTCGCTCAGCTCCTCCACTGAAAAGATTTTTTAGCCGTCCTTTTCCCCAAAAACCACTGCTAGCCTGCCCTGTCGCTTTCTTTTTTTCCCGTTTTATTCGCCATTTTCGACTTTCCTGAAGGGTTTCTGCTAGTTGCCCGGCAAAAATTGGGCTTTTTCAGAAAATCTAGAAGCATGTTTTTTCCGCTATAATCTCTGCTAGCATGCCCCGTTTATGCTAGGAATTTTAGGTCAGCAACGGTTTTTTGCGCTAATTTACCCTCGAAATCAGCCCCTTTTCATTCCGAAAGGGTTTCTGCTAGTTTTCCGACCAAAATCTATCCTTGTTTTAGCAAATCTAGGGATTTTTAGATGGGTAGCTTTCCGCAATAATCTCTGCTAGCCCGCCTCGTTGGCTTTCGTATTTTCTGAAGTTTTTCCACTGTTTTGCCCATCAGTATTAAGAATTTTCGCGGCCCGCGCATTTTCCCCCAATAATTGCTGCTAGCCTGTCTTCAACTGCTATTTTTCGATTCTTCAAGGTTCTCTGCCAGTATGCCTTCTACTAGTAGGTTTTTGTCCCCAATAATCTCTGCTAGCCACACTTTAACCTACCCTCCAAATCCTCATCTTCCCTCGGAGGCGATTTCGGGGTTATTGGCTCTAAATATTGGTTTTTAAGGCCATTTCCCGGGCTCACCTCTTTTTGCCGAAGATTTGTGACTGTCTGCCGAGTTTTGGGACGGTTTTTCAGAGCTAGAAATAATCGGATTATCGACCACTTTATCGATTCGACATACCGCAGCGAGCTAAGCCCGCTTTTCAGCGAGTGTTCCTCAGGTTCAGAAGCGGCTGACGAGACGGGGGAGTCCAGTTCTACAAATTTTATGGGTTTTTTGTCTATTAGCTTTTCTTACTTTCAGAAAAATCGAGAGCCGCTATACTGCGCATTTGCTGGGTTCGCGAGGCGGTGGAGGAGGTGGAGAGGCCGAGGGGCGGAAGGGAGCCTCTAAACTTAGAAAAAATTGATTTATTTCATTTTCTAGGTTTTAGAGGGGTTTTGAGACGTAGCTTTTTCCAGGTCCTTTCAGAGACCGGGAAATTTCTGGCGTTTTTTAGGAGTTTGATTTTTTGGGAACTTTGCCGCAGGTGTGATGCGCAATGTGGTACTGGACTGTTTGCGGGGGGACCAAATGTTTTCCAGTGATCCCGTACGGCTCTATAGCAAATTATAAACCTTTTTTTAAAGTTTTTTGTGCAGTTTTTAGATAGAAAAAGTCATCAAACTTATAAAAAAACTCGCAAATTATGCATTTTTGACCAAAAAGTATGGAAAATAGCAAAAAAAGCCAAAATTTTCGATTTTTCAAAGATTTTTGTAACTTTCTAGCCATAAAAAACTACTAAAAATACTGTAAAAATACATTAAAATTATCAACACCATGGTATAGGCGGAAAAACAAAAATTTGGTTTTCTGAAAAGCCCGCCCCCGCTAACAGTCCAATACCTCGTTATTTTTGCCTTTTTTTTTAAAACGCAGCTCGATTTTTATTTCTTAATCCATTTGAATTTACTTTTAATTAAATTTACATTAGATATTAGTTATTTAGAGATTTTTAATCCGTTTTCTAACTTACCCCAATGGCGGTAGACTCGAAGTAAGGGCTGGGAATAGAGAAGCAGAAGAAGAAGCCGTATTCGATTGTAGAGGTCGAATTGGTTGTGCCTTATTGTCTAGTAGAGATATCGAAGAGGTGGATGGACGATTGAATAGAGTAGAAATGGACCCTTTTGGGGTTGAGGGGGAGGATGAAGCGGATGTTGAGGTGGATGAAGATTCTTTAGACGTTGACGAGGCTGCCGACACCAATTGCGCCTAGAAAAAGTGGCGTAAACGTTAAATTAATTAGTTTTAATTTATATAACCTTTTTAACGTTTTTATAGTATTGAATTAACGTAATTTTTGTGGATATAACTTACAGTTTGTGGGGCGATTGTCCGCGTCAAATTTGCCATCGATTGTAATAGACTATCATTCAGATCTTGCCGTGATTGTGGCCGTAAAGCCGGCCGAGTTGCTATCTAAAAACCAGTGGAAAAAGACCGCTTCGCGGCCCTTTTCCACTGGACCCGTCTAGGAATCATGAATTCCCTTTCCTCCTATTCTAGCCTGTGGCGCAAGAGCCTGACTCAAGGAAACATTCATTGGCCTGCGGCGGCAGAGCCAGCTTTGCGCTAGATACTTTGACCTGCCGCGCTAGCAACTGATTTTTCGCCCGGATTTAGCCTGCGGCGCGAAAGCGTAAGTCAAGGACCCATTCTTTGGCCTGCGGCGCCAGAGCCATCGTTGCGTTAGAATCTTTGAGCCTCCGGCGCTAGTTACTGTTTCCCCCAGGATTTGGCCTGCGGCGCGAGAGCCTGGACCAAGGGCCTTTTCTTTGCCTGCGGTGCGAGTTACTGGTTTTTTTTCCGGGATTCGGCCTGCGGCGCGAGAGCCTGGGTCAAGGCCCCATCGTTGCGGCCAGAGCCTGGGCCAAGTAGCCGCTAGAGCGAGGGCCACGCCTAAAACTCGCGTATCAAGAGCCTAGAAATAGGTTTTGTTGTTGAACTGCCAAAAAGCAAAAAGTTAACTTCGGCGGCGTGGATTCGAACCCGGGCCACGGGCTTCGTAGACCGGGGGCCAATCCAATACACCACGGCGAGATGGTGATGGGGGCGGGAAAGGCCTCTGTCTTCTGTCCTGGTGGCGGCCCATCCCGGGAGGGAGGACTTCTGGTAACTTTACAAAATTCTCTTTTTGAGTCTAAATGCTGCGAAAATTTGTAAAAATAATAAGATGCGCGTGATCTCCACTATCGAATACATAAGTTTTCCAAATTACAGCCCGAAATTCCATCTGAGCCTCGCGTTATGGCCCGGACACCACGGTTCATGGCCCATTTTGTTAAGGACTTTTTAGAAAAATGCTCATAAAAACTTTGTTTTACCAAATCTGACAAAACGCCAAATTATATATCGGGAGAATTCGATTTTCAATCCACCCTCCAAAAATTAGCGCCCAATTCGGTCTGGCAATCGAGATATCCTCTGAACAAACCTTTTTTCGGCTAAGATGTTAAGGATTTTTCACTATTTTGCTTGTAAAACCATTAGATAAAGGAATTTCGCTAAACAAAAAAATGCGTCACTGACAAATGTGTTTCTCCACGTCCATGCCAAAAATCAGCTCAAAATTCGGCCAGGCGGCCGAGAAATCGGCTGTACAGAAAACAGACATACTTTTCTCGCTTATAGGATAGGAATCCCGACGTTTTTAGGGTACTGGTGCATTATCGGGGGTAACTCTTTTTTCCCTAACAGTCCAGAAATACCTAGTAATGTAAAAAACCCCGTTGATTTTTCCTTTAGATGTTGAACCCTATTTCAAGCCTAAAAACTATTTTAAAAACGTAGAAAAGTTTTAAAAATCTTGAAGTTCGGACGGAAAACCCTTTAAAAAAATCAAATTCTGAAATTTTGGTTGAAATCGGTCCGTTTCCGCCGAAAAATCAGAAAAAATTGATCCCCAGCTTTGTTAGCCGTATCCATTCCCTAGGAATCTCCGCTATCCTGCCCACCTTTGGAGCATCAGCCGGTCTCTCTATTGGCATCGAGATATCCACAGCTTTTTGCCTATCCACCAAATGTGATGTCATCGCCTCCTTCACCTCTTCAAACTCGAATTTTCCGACGGGCTGCCCGCTGACCCAGGATTCCCGGGGGATCTAGAAAGTTTTATTAACAGGTTCTTTATTTTAATACATTTTATTAAGTTAAATTAACGATTTTAAAATCAGTACCTTTCTGCCAGTTTTCGCTGCCATCCCCCGCAATAATCCATCAAGCCCGTTCTCCGCATATCCGCTCACAAAGTTTGTCAACTCATCTCGGGTGAGCAGCCTCTGGAATTGACGATGATTGGGTAAACTAGCAGGGATTATCTAGGAAAATCTATGTCGTTTTTGGAGGCAAACCGACTTTTGACTTCCTTTTTAACGGTTTTATTATCTCTAGAATCAGGTAGATCCAGGAAACTCCCTTTTTTAGGCAATTATCGACTTTTTACCTTTTCCAACCGTTTGGCTTTTTTGAAAGTTTGGATTTATGTAGCACTAATTTTGCCTAAAAATATCGATTTCAGGGCAAACTAGCAGAGAACCTGTAGGAAAAGTTTTAGATTTTTAAATTGGAGGAAAAGCACGTTTTCAAATTGTTGAGGTTTTTTGTCCGCTTATCTGCCAGTTTTGGGTTTTAAAAACAAGCCCTTTTCAGGGCAAACTGGCAGAAAACCTTTAGGAAAATCGATTTTCATGATTTGATAGGCAAAATACGTTTTTCTAACCTATTTTAAGTTTTTGAAATTTTTACCTCGTACGTTTCAGCCTGTAGCAATTCAGCCGTCGCTTCGAGCGACGAGTTTTGTAGCCAGTGGTAGATGACAGACCGCGAGATTAGTTCTATTATATTTTGTTTATTTTGTTTTTCGGCTAAAAAGCCTTACCTTGATCGCTAAGGACCGGGTAGCTCCTCTTCTCGTCAAGCATTCGAATCACCGCCTCGCGTACCACTTTCTGAAATTTCGGCGTTTTTAGGGATTTTTTAGGTTTTTAATGTTTCGAAAAAGATTAGAAGTAGATTTTTAAACTTTAGAAAACTTTAAAAGTAGTTTCTAATCTGTTGAAAATCTTAAAAATTCATTTTGCTCTCTAAAAATCTTTAAAAAGTAGGTTTTATCTTTAGGTAATCTTTCAAAATAGTTTTGAATCTTTCGAAAAGATTCAGAAGTAGCTTTCAATTTTTAGAAAAGCTTTAAAATTAGTTTTCTAGCTATAGAAACTTTTTTCCGTACCGTCAAAAAGATGTATCCCTTCTGATTTCGTAGATGGTCGATGAATTGGGTGCGCAGCTCGTCTTTTGAGCGTGCCGGCTGGCTGCTTGTCGTCATTTTTCAGAGGTTTCTAAACGTTTTTCGGAGCTTTCGGCATGAAATTGAGCGCGAAAAGGCGTAAAAATAGCTATAAATCACGATGTTGTGGCTTCTCAAGCAAAATCTGGTTAGAAATGGCTAAAACTTTCGTTTTAAAGCAATTTCTGCCTGCGCACCAGAGACAATGGATGTTCGGTGGCATCGAACGGGGCTCCGGGCGTGGCTTCCTGGAGCTCGTGGACCGACGGGATGCGAACACGCTGCTGCCAATTATTGAGCAGTGTGTCCGCCCTGGTTCTACAATCCATTCGGATCTCTGGCGGGCGTATGGCGGCATCTCGGCCCTTCCACAAGGCTACCAACATCTCACGGTCAATCATTCAATGAACTTCGTTGACCCCCACACTGGCTCTCATACCCAAAATGTAGAGAGCCAATGGTCACGGTTCAAAAAAAGGATCAAGAGATCGAATGGCCTCAACACTGCCACAAACGAGAGGTACAGTGATTACCTCAGTGAGTTTATGTGGCGCCAGGAGTTCGGCGATAGCGATGACATCTTCTACCACTTTTGGTCCCAGGTTGCTGCTCAGTACCCGTGCGAATGATCACTCGCTAAAAAAATACCCAACGGCCCTCTTCAGGGCCACCCGCCGAGCTCTGTTAGCAACCTCCCCGTGGTGCTTGGTGGAAACAGCGTATCGCTGGCCAATAGCTAACATTTTCCCGAAACGATGCCGTTTTAGCGAAAACAAGCGGTATCGCGGCATGAGAGCGCAGAAAGGTCGGGTTTATAGGCTCCTGGCGTACTTAGAACGCCGTCAAATCACGAAAATCGAAATTCCAGATTTTGGTATAAAATTATATTTTTTTTTCTTAAATGTCATTTTTACGGGCTGGGATAGTGTTATTCGTAACCAGCGCAAAAAACTGACCCAGAAAAAGGCCATTTTGGCCAGATATAAGTGGGGCCAGCAAACTGAAGTAGTGCCCAAAGTTTTTATGAGCATTTTTCCAAAAAGTCCTTAACAAAATGGGCCAAGAGCCGTGGTGTCCGGGGCATAACTCGAAACTCAGATGGAATTTCGGGCTGTAATTTGGAACACTTATGTATTCGATAGTGGGGATCACGCGCACCTTATTATTTTTACAAATTTTCGGCGCATTTAGACTCAAAAAGAGAATTTTGTAAAGTTACCAGAAGTTCTCCCTCCCGGGATGAGCCCGCCCCCAGGACAGAAGACAGAGGACTTTCCCGCCCCCCATCGCCATCTCGCGGTGGTGGAGTGGATTGGCCCCCGGTCTACCAAGCGCGTGTTCCGGGTTCGAATCCACGCCGAAGTTAACCTTTTGCTTTTTGGGAGTTCAACAACAAAACATATTTCTAGACTCTCCGTGTGCGCGATTTAGGCCTGGCCCTCGCTCTAGTGCCGCAGGGCAAAAAAGGTACTTGGCCCAGGCTCTGGCGCCGCAGGCCAACGATGGTTCCTTGACCCAGGCTCTCGCGCCGCAGGCTAACTCGGGCGAAAAATCAGTTGCTAGCCCCGCAGGCCAAAGTTTCTAGCGCAAAACTGGCTCTGCCGCCGCAGGTCAAAGAATGTTTCCTTGATCAGGCTCTTGCGCCGCAGGCTTGAATAAAAGGAAAGGGAATTCATGATTCCTAGACGGGTCCAGTGGAAAAGGGCCGCGAAGCGGTCTTTTTCCACTGGTTGAGGTATAAACTAGAGTGTAACACTTTAATTAGAGGAAATCCGTTTCCTAAATTGTCTCTGCTGGCTAGCCTAGCCTTAGAAAGTTTGTCATATTAAGGGCGCGGCCGTTTTTCGGGTCCTTTTCGAAGTTCTTTGTGAATCTAGCATCAAATCTTATAGTTTAACCACTCAAAATGTAGGAAATGGTCTCACGGAATCAAAAACGAAAACCAAATCGCAGTATCAGGGTTTAGGGAGGAGATATAAATTTTACAAAGTTTTCGCTGCGGAAACCTTTCGACCCTTTCGACGTTTCCGCCAGCGAATTGGCTCCAATCCATTAAAACGGCTCTTGCGCCAAATTTTTGTTCAAAAAATTTAACACCTGCGAAAGACAATATTTCCCGCTGTTTTCGGTCTTAATAAATTTAGTTAAGATTAGTAAAGATTAGTAGGGAACAAATCACGATTCAAGGGGCACTTTTTCGCGGTTTTTTGGCTCTTCTCGGTCGATGAACGGTTTCTTGCCTGGAAATGCTCGTTGCGCCCTTTTTTCTTTATTTTTCTGGTCGATTCCTATTAGAACGAAGTAAAAGACATTATTTCGATCTCATTTCCTTAATCATCTTACTGTACTTATCTTGATTGAATCTTATCTTTGGTGATTTTTTATCATTTTTTTAGGTTTTTGAGCAAAAACTCAAAAGTGATTTACCGACATTTGCTTGACTCATAACATAGCATTTTTAGGTTTAAAAACATTCATAAATGCTATAAAAGCGGGTTGTATTTGGTTCTTTTACCCACACAGCGCGATGAAAAGATTTTCCTTACTCTTCCGCTAACACGATTTTCTATGGTTTTCCCGCCTGTCAGCAATTCGATAATTTTCTTTTTTTCAGGTAAGCGGACAACTCGGCGCTTCGATGGATCGTGATCAATTTGAAAAGGAGCTGCTGGCCCTGCAGAACGATGGATTGAGGGATATCGACATCGTTGAGCAGAAGAAAGGACAGAAGAAGGGCCTCGTTTCGTCGTCTCTATCGAACGCCTTGAGGGTGCGGGTGCCGGAAAACATGTTGGGCAAGGCGATCGTCACCATCACCTTCCCCGAGGAGGGCAATCGAAATACGGGAGATGAACAGACGCATGTTGTACACGCACAATTTGATGTCAAGGAGGAGCCCTACAAATCTTCGCTCAATCTCCACGAGCTTCCCATCGTTCTTATCTGGGAAATCATGGAAGACCTTATTACGCCGGACTTCTTCGCCGTTGCTGGTGCTCATCAGAATCTCCTTCACGCCACGAAATATATGAGGAACAAGCACTTTGATGAAGTGGATTGTGTGGTCTCGATTGAGCCGGATTCTCCTCGTAATGCTCAAACACCGGAAGTGTTGGAGGTTCTTCTTCACGGGGCTCTGGTGGAGAATTTATACATCGAGTCGACGTCCCGTCCCTTTGATGTTGAAGGAATCGAGCTAAAAGAGCTTCACTTTCTTGACGAGGAACAATGTTCTGATTGGGCAGCCATTGTCATCGAGAAGCTGAGGCCGGCCGAGGTCACCCTGCGGGGGTGCACATTGACACCGAGGTTGGGTCAAGCCCTTTCCACGATTCCGCGTCTATGTCTCGGTAATGTTAGAATGGAGCTGCTCGACTTCATCGCCCAGTGGAAATTCGAGGTTTTGATCTGGCAAGTGCGAAACGCAGAGAATGGAGAGTTGCCGTCTCACTTCTTCGATGTCATCAGACAGCTGCTCGATCAATTCAAGAAAAGGGAGCGACTGCGATTAGAACTTTTCATCGAGTTTCAACCCTCCCTGCGCGCTGACCAGCTCCATCCCGCTGTTTTTGGACCTGATTACCCATTGCGGTTCGACGATAGTGCATTTCATTATTTTTTTAAAACAGGCACTTCTTCCTCCTTGGGGTGCATAATCTGTGACTCCAACCTGTTAATTAATTTGTAGCCCGTGCCGGTGCAAGATTACCTCCCATTTCAACGTTTTTGTTTTGTTTAGGCAGTGCCCTTTTCGTGTGTATTTTGCTACGGTCTCTTTACTATTTTTTCACTTTCTTTCTTTTCAATTTTCTGATTCCGACCTGAATGATGAATAAATTTCCGGTTTCTGCTCCAACCGCAGCGGAGCCGCTGGCACTTGCGACCGATCGGTTGTAAAATAGGGGAGTTCTATTTATGAGCAAAAACTCAAAAGTGATTTACCGACATTTAGTTGACTCATAACAGAGCATTTTTGGGTTTAAAAACATTCATAAATGCTACAAAAGCTGGTTGTATTTGGTTCTTTTGCCAACACAGCGCGATGAAAAGCTTTTTCCTTTCCTTTTCATTTTCTATGGTTTTCCGGCCTGTCAGCAATTCAATATTTTTTTTCTTCAGGTAAGCGGACAACTCGGCCCTTCAATGGATCGTGATCAATTTGAGAAGGAGCTGCTGGCCCTGCAGGCCGATGCTATCAAGGATTTCGACATCGTGGAGGAGCAGAAAGGAAAACAGAAGGGCCTCGTTTCGTCGTCTCTATCGAACGTCTTGAAGGTGCGGGTGCCGGAAAACATGTTGGGCAAGGCGATCGTCACCATCACCTTCCCCGAGGAGGGCAATCGAAATACGGGAGATGATCAGACGCATGTTGTACATGCACAATTTGATGTCAAGGAGGAGCCCTACAAATCTTCACTCAATCTCCACGAGCTTCCGGTGGCTCTGCTCGAGAAAATGATGGAATCGCTTGATACGCCTGACTTTTTCGCTGTTGCTGGTGCTCATCAGAATATCCTTCAGGCCACAAAATACATGAAGAACAAGCACTTTGACGAGGTGCACTGCTGCGCGCAAGTTGGACCGGATTCTCCTCGTCATGCTCAAACCCCCGAGGCACTGGAGATCCTTCTTCACGGAGCTCTGGTGGAGAAGTTGTGGATAAAGTCGCTTACCCGCCCCATCGATGTCGAAAAGATCGGACTGAGACTACTTTGCTTTCTAGGCAATGAACAACCTTCTGATGGGGCAGCCATTGTTATCGAGAAGCTGAGGCCCACCAAAGTCTGGGTATGCGGAGGAGCTATCGTGACAACGAGATTGAGTGAGGCCCTTTCCGCGATTCCGCGTCTCAATGTCAATCTTTGCGCGGTGAATATATTCCCGCTCTTCACCAAGTGGAAATTCGAGCATTTGATCTGCAGAATGGATAACCCGGAGAATGGAGAGTTGCCAGCTAGCTTCATCGATGTCATCAAACAGCTGCTCGATCAACTAAAGAATGGCCAACGACCTCCATTCTACCTGAAAGTTGACTTTAAACGACAGCTGCAGGCTGACCAGCTTCATCCGACTGTTTTTGGCACCGACTACCCATTGCAGCTCGACGATCGTGAACATCACTATCTTTATAACGGTACTTCTTCCTTGTCTATCAAAATCTCTAAATCCTTCCTTTGTATTCAGCCCTAGCCCTTCCTGGCCCATCATTTCCCAATCTCATCGCTTTATTTTTTTTGTGTATGCAGTGCCCTTTTTTCGCGTGTATTTTGCTGTCTCTTTACTGTGTTTTCACTTATTTTCTGATTCTGACCTGAATGATGAATAAATTTCAGGTTTCTGCTCCAACCGCAGCGGAGCCGCCGGCACTTGCGACCGATCGGTTGTAAAAAAGGGGAGTTCTATTTTAGTTTTCTTGCTTTGATTTTGTTTAGAGAAGAAGCTGCGGCCGTCTGCCCGTCATCTTGAACGTCTCATCATGGATTCGCGGTTCGTCGTCGACTTTTCTACTTCTCCGAAAATCTTTTTCAGATATCCCTACCTCTATGGGCATTCGACAAGCAAAACAAGACGATGATGGGCCCGAAATGGCCGAGCTCTGCGTTTAGAGGGCAGGAAAATCAATAAAAGGAGTTTTATTTTGTGAAAATCGTTTTTCAGGCCAACGAATCGACAACGAGACTTTTCAATGGATATTCGGATAAGGAAAGCGATCCAATCGGCACAAGGACTCTCCTTTTGGATCGGCGGTTAGTGATTCAACCGTGCTACTTCTCCGAAAATCTTTTTAGATAGCCCGCCTCTGAATGGACAAGGCAAGGAAGAACTGAAAAGCAGCCAGAAATGCAAGGAGAAGCTGTTCGTCCAGGTGCTGCGCAATATCGGCAGGATAAGGTGCATTTTAGAGATTTCTCTGTCAAAACTGTATTTTTGAGGCGGCCGAGCCTTGTAGGTTTATTGCCTAGCAGGTTTTTTCGTGGAAAAGGTTACGATAGGGAAATCAAGTTAATTTCGACTCGTTTGAGGTTGATTTCCGATATTTTCAGCGTTTCAAATTGTCAAATAGTCTCTGTTAGCCTTCCTCGGTTTATAGAGACAGAACCGTCAATCGTGTTTTCCGCAAATGCATTCTGCTTGCCGCGCAGATAGTGTTTTGCTGTATTGTCTCCAAGGATCTTTGCTAGTCTGCCTCTCACCTCGTAATAGCTGGGTGTGTTGAAAAAGGGCCTGCAGCAACAAGTTGCTCTAAAAAATTGGGTCAAATTTGAATTTAGCATAGTTTTCCTTGGTTTTTTTTGGAGTTGCGCCGCGCCATTCTTCTCGGTGCGCGCGATGGCGGGCGGCTATGGGGCTGCAAAGATGATGCCCGTCCGTTTTTACACTAAAAACTTATTTACTTTGATTAATAAACCGGTTCTTTAGTATTTCTGTGGTCATGATTTTGAAGAATAAATTTTTTTGGGAAATGAACATTTTTCCCCTTTATCAAGATATTCCTGGTAAATTAATAACAGTAGTTTTATAGTACTTTTGGCAGAAATCTAGCTATATTTCAGAGGATTTAAAAATCTTCTTTAAATAAAAATTTTGCCGCTAAAAAATCTTTTTAACAGCACGTCAAAAAAATGGCTAAATTCTACTTTACGGTATGTTCCCAAAATGTCAATTTTTCGGCTGGAATCGATGCAGCTCGACGAGCTTGTGCATTTCCAGTTGAAAAAACGATTGGGAAACGCTTCTGGACAAAGTTATAGGCTTTCGAAAATAGCGAGTATACTTTACGGTATGTTCATAAAATGTCATTTTTTCATCTGAAAACGATAAAGCTGGGTGAGGTAACGCGTTTTCCGTTGAAAAAACAATTGGGAATACCATAAATCAAAAGTTATTACGCTTTAAAGCTATTTTGTGTAAGGTCCGTAGGCTACGCAACACTCCTATCCCCGCATTCTAAAGCGTGCCCTCTCTGCAGTTCTCACGTGCTGAGCTAAAAACATTTGGAATTTTTAAAACGAGTATTTTGAGTATGGAAAAGATAAATAAATGTTAGTTGTGGCCTCTAACATTGTCAGGCAAGGCGGGCCATCGCTTCGGATGGGCTGCCGCTCCACTCTTCCGAAATCGGGGCGCCTGGCCGCTACGCGCGCCTCGGGCGCCCCGATTTCGAAACCCTGTACGAGCTCGCACCCATCCGAAGCGACTAGGCCCCCGGTGGCACGAAGCCTTATTTTTAGGCTCATATTGGGTGTCTATCGGTCGAAAACCAAGCAAAAATGCGATGATTTTCATCAGTTTTGGTGTATATTTTCGAAAGCCTATAACTTTGTCCAGAAGCGTTTCCCAATCGTTTTTTCAACAGGAAACGCACAAACTCATCGAGCTGGATCGATTCCAGTCGAAAAATCGACATTTTGAGAACATACCGTAAAGTAGAATTTAGCCATTTTTTTGACGTGCTTTTAAAAAGATTTTTTAGCGGCAAAATTTTTATTTTAAGAAGATTTTTAAATCCTCTGAAATATAGCTAGATTTCTGCCAAAAGTACTATAAAAATACTGTTATTAATCTACCAGGAATATCTTGATAAAGGGGAAAAATGTCCCCCCGGAAATGCCAAAGAACCATTAGGCTTTTCCCCCCATTTGTTTTTAGTGCCTGGATCTGGAGCTGGGTAGTATCGTGTCTCAACACGTGGATGCCCTCCCGCCCCTGCTCAACGACTCATTCTCCAGCATGTTCGCCTCGTTCGCCATTCTCTTCATCTTTCTCGCTTTTCTCAATGGTATTTGATTTTTTCTATTATTCCGCTGAAATTTTACTGTTTGACTTCATCACGGCGGCCAGGAGAAGCCATATTTACCAAATTTCGCCCTTTTTTCAAAGATTTTTATAAAACAGAGGGCCTAACCTTTTAAAATAAAGAATTTAGAAATTTTTTCACCTTAGATTAACTTTTTCTCCAAGTTCTGCGTGTTTTATCTTTTTAAAATGGATTTTGACTTAGTTTTTCTTGATTTTATCATGGAAAATGGCCTAAATTGTTAAAATCTTGATTTTTCAAGCTCTTTGAAGGTCAAAATTTGACTTTTGCTTTAAATTTTCAAATTTTTAGGATTTGTAAGTTTTTTTGAGCCCTTTTTCCTCGAAATTGAAAGTGCCTGATTCCTAAATTTCTAATTTCGCTGCAGGATTTCGCCGTGATGCCTCGGTGGCGAATGAGCACTACGAGTCGGTGTGGCAACGGCAGAATTTCTGGAAGAAACTCGCCGAGATTGAGGCCAAATCCGGACGCCCAAAGGTCGGCTGCGAGCCGAAATTTTGGCGCATTTTTTTGTGCGAAGCTTATACAAAGTATAGCTAAAATCCAAAAGAAATCTTAGGTTCAAGGACGGCATTTTTAATTACAGATTTTCGAAATTTTTATGCGATTTTTTGGTTTTAGGTCTTTTTCTAAAGAGTTTTTGAGCGTTTTCTAAACAGATTTATTAGATAGAAACGTGATGTTAGTATTTTAACGATATTTCAAGCTATATTAAGAAAATATTCCAAGAAATTCAAATTTTGGTGGAAAATCGATAATTTTTTAGTGGAAAATCGCTGGTTTTGTATTTTTCTAATCCAAAGTTGTAAAGTTTTTACGTTTAATAATAGTAAAAAAAAGCAATTTAGAGGTGCTTACTTTTTATATTGAAAATGTACTGTAAAAAGGGTTGTTTTCAGTTGGCAATGTCTGGGTACAAGAATAAACATCCGGTGGTGGATGAGAAGAAGGATTCCAGGGAGGGTGTACGGTAGATTGGAGCGCGTTTTAGCGAATTTATGATTTTGTTTAGCGAGGAATACATGACACTCCGCTATCGTCTGCCGTCAATGATGCGATTTCGGCGTTGGGAATGGATGTACGCAATGATTTGAATATTTTTATTCGATCGACAAATGACGCCTTTTTCAGCGTAATCCGGCTGCTGGGCACGATCTATTTCGTGTCGATCATTCTCTCCACCGTGTTCTACTATTCATTGAGGTACATTGTATATACTATAAAGTGGAGATTAAATTGTATAAAAAATTGCAAAATTTTCGAAATTTTATCGAAAAAGGTCAAAATTTTTTTGTAACGTTTTAGCATTCAAAAACTACGAAAAAGACGATAAAATTTAATTTAGCACTGGACGTAAAAATAAAAATTTGGTACCCCCCCCTCGCTAACAGTCCAGTACCCAAAAATGGGCATCGGTTTAGAATCCAGAACCGTCCACTTTCGACATATTGTTGGATGTGCCATCTCTCCCTTCGACTCATCCAACAAATCCAGTATCGAGTGGCCATGTCGAATGTCACTTGGTGTTCATCTACCAATGCATCCACATGTCCTGCTGAATTGTGTGTACTTGATGCATCTGCTGAGGTACGTCCTAAAGGCTCAGAAAAGTCACCGAGGGTTTCTAATCGGTTTTTACGATTCCTAAGCGTAAAAACTTACAAATTTTTATTAAGAAACATAAAAAAATTGAGCTTTTTCGGCCTAAACTTCGACTTTTCGTAAGTTTCTAGGTAGTTTTCGAGTTGAAATAGAATTTTATTATACTAAAAATATCAGTAAAATACTTTCGCTCATGCTCCGAGGCATTTTCTAGGCTTTACAAAAAATACCCCTATAGTGCGAAAGAACCAGTTAAACTCGAAAAATTTTGAATTTAATGCAACTCTGTTATTTTTGTGGTGTAGATGATGACCGGTCAACGAAATATGACGGCCCTATTCTTCGACCAAGCCCATCATAATGTCCATCGAATGTATTACAATGAGACGACACCCAGGTATACTGTATTCACACGGGTATCCTGGGTACTAGACTGTCAGCGGGGGGACCACCGTTGTTTTTCCTCCTAGTTCCTCTCCTTGATAATATAGAACCGTATTTTTGTAGCGTTTTAATAGTTTTTCACAGCCAGACAGCTATAACAATTTGTTAAATTTTGCAAAATCGAAAAATATCTGGCGGATTTACATGTTTTTTTTGACAAATAAGTCAAACGTTTTGAAAATTTACATTTTTTTTGTGAGTGTTTATATCTAAGAACTGTATAAAATGCTATAAAAACGGCCTATTTTTCCTGTAGTACCGGGATTACCCGGAAAAATTTCGTCGCGCCTGCTAAAAGACCCCCCCCCGCTAGCAGTCCAGTACCGGACGCCGTACGATATTAAAATACGTAGCGTACCTGCGGGTTGTAGGGTTGGTTCGCTGTGCATTGGCTGTATGTACGTGTTGGCTGCAATGACGGCTGGCTGGCGTCTTCTCTACAAGGGTGGCAATCGCATCTTTGTCAGGGATCAACGCGGAGAGACTGTCGGTACGGGTATTTCGCCTAAAAATACCTACCAAAATCATCTAAAGTTTTTAAAAACCATTTTATAAATTGTAACAAATAATCCGTTTTTAACAAAATTTTTAAAATTAATTTAAACTGTTATTTTGGGCCATTTTCAGGAATTTGACCCAATTTTCAAAATGCTGAATTTTTGCAACAACTAATTTAGCCTTAATTTTAATTAATTAATGCTTTAATATAATTAAAAACGGCGAAAAGCGAGTGTATTCAGAAGGGATCTACATCGCCTCAGCCCAAGTGACAATCTTCGCGTGGATTGTGCTGTTCTTTGCCATCGCCCATCTCGGTCTCATCGTCTATGTTTTTGCCGGCAAAACCCTGTCCAGGTACAATTCCACAAATCGTCACTGCTGGCTAGCCACTGCCGCGCTAAAGTTTCATTGTTTTCATCTATTTTTGAAAAATGGAAAGCTCGAAACTTGGGTTCTTTTGCATTATCGGGGGGGGAGGGGCAACTTTATTCCTAGAACTCCAGAAACAATTGGTAACGACATAGAAAATATTTTAATAGCGTTTTCGTAAAATTTAACTATATTTCAAGCGGAAAAACCATCAAAAAGCTGGGAAAAGATTTTTTAGAAAAAGTTTTAGTCGAAAAAGCGATATTTTGTATTTTTAAACAAAACTTGTAAAGTTTTTACGTTTAGTTCCGTAAAAACAATTCCGAAACACTTCTTCTGTTTAAATCGACCCTAAGAAAAAAGCCCCCCCCCCCGATAATGCGAAAGATCCGAAATACCATAATAAATTTTTGCCAAATGCGCTTTCGGAAATTGAATTAATGGTAATTTAAATGAAATGAAACTAATATATGACTGGTTCAGCGAGGCGTATAGTTGCCGAGACCAATTCGAAGCGGCGATGCGCTACAGACGAAACGATGTCTTCTCATTCTTCATCCACAACAGATCCCTCATCACAAATCCCTTATTCTGTCCGGATGATGATGTGGATGGGGACGAGATGATGAATTGGTGATTTATGCTAGAAGAAGATTCTCGAATTTTCGTTCAATTTCCGGTTGATAAAGCTCCCTTTTCGTGGGCCAATTCACTGAAATACAGAGGAAAACAAGCCGAGGGAATTGGTGGAAATTTCAAAAAGCTAGATTGCTGCTAAAACGCGCCGTGTCAATAGAAAAATGCAAAAGAGGCAGGCGGGAAAAAATTATTGGAGAAATTATACGAAAACGGGGATTTTGTGCAGCTAGCAGAGATCATTTGCGGACCTTTTCTGGTCGAGACAGGCTAGCAGCAGAGGCCATTCCAGAATATGAAACTTTCAAAATATCGAAAATCAGCCTCAAACCGGTCGATTAAATTGATTTCCCTGTCGTAACCTTTTCCACGAAAAACCCTGCTGGTCAATAAACCTAAAAAGGGCTCTGCCGCCTCGAGGATGCTGGTTTTAAAGTGCAACAGCATCTAAACTAAACCGTATTCTGTCGAGGTCGCGCAGCATCCGGACAAACAGCTTCTCCATGCATTTTTGGCTGCTTTTCAGCTCTTCCTTGCCTTGTCGATTGTCCATTTAGAGGCGGGCTATCTAAAAAGATTTTCGGAGAAGTAGCAGGGTTCAATCACTAACCGCCGATCCAGAAGGAGAGTCCTTGTGCCGATTCGATCGCTTTCCTTTTCCGAATCTTCGCTGAAAAGTCTCGTTGGCGATGCGCTGGCCTGAAAAAACGATTTTCACAAAAGTAAAACTACTTTTATTGATTTTCCTGTCCTCTAAACGCACAGCCTGGCCATTTCGTGCCCATCATCGTCTTGTTTCGCTTGTCGAATGCCCATTGAGGTAGGGATATCTGAAAAAGATTTTCGGAGAAGTAGAAAAGTCGACGACGAACCGCGAATCCATGATGAGACGTTCAAGACGACGGACAGACGGCCGCAGCTTCTGCTCTAAACGAAATCAAAGCAAGAAAACTAAAATAAAACTCGTCCCTTTCTACAGCCGATTGGTCGGCGTCTTCGAGCGCGTTCCCACCACGGCGCTGGCGTCCGTCAAGAAACCTGAAATTTATTTGTAATTCAGGCTGAAATTCAACAAGAAGAGAAAACAAAGCAAAGCAAAAATAACAAAGTAACGTGAACAGGATGCAATAACGAAAGCGCAAGCCAGGCAAGACAATACGAAACGAGGAACGGTCATGGTGGGCCCATACCAATCTGATATATCCATCAATAATGCCAATCCTCTCCCTCAACATCAAAGCCGGTTTCATTCATAATGATCACAAGGGGGCAAGCCTGGAACTCATACCAGCCGGTCGAGGGATTGATCTGCATCGGGTAGTCGGGGCCAAAAACCGTCGGATGCATCTGGTGAGGGAGCAAGGGACAGTTGATGTCTAGGATCAATCTCTTTCGCCGTCCATCCACGTATTCATCAATCATCTGCTTGAAAACATCGAAGAAGTGAGACGGCAACTCTCCATTCTCCGCCTTTTGCAGCGTACAGCCCAAACATTCCATCTTCCATTGCGTGATGTAGTCGAGTAGTTCCATTCCAACTGGGCCGAGCTCGATCTGCGTCAGCGTCGAAAAGGCCTCGCTCAACCTCGGCGTCACAGTGTAGTTCGTATAGTGTGTGAGGTCGATACGTGGCGGGTTGTGCTTCTCGATGAGAATGGCGGCATAATCCGTTGTTTTTTCCTCCCCTTGCACAACAAACTGCTCCTCCAGCCTGAGTCCCTCAACGTCGATCGGACGAGTATCCGAGTTGTAGATCAAGTCATTGATCCATGCGCCGTGAAGAAGAATCTCCAATACCTCCGGCGTTTGAGCATTAGGAGGAGAATCCGGTCCAATGGTGGCCACGCATTCAATCCAGTCAAACTCCTTGTCCTTCAGATGTTTTGTGGCGTAGAGGAGATTCTGATGAGCACCAGCAACTGAGAAGAGGTCCTCCCCGTTCAGCGGTTCCACAATCCTCTGCAGCAAGAAATAGGGGAGCTCGTAGATTTTCCTCGAGGGTTTGTCGGCCTGCTGCTTGACACAATCATCCGTCTTTCCATTGCTCTCCTCGACAATGTCGATATCCCTCCACCAAACCGCCATTTGAAATTGATCACGATCCATCGAAGCGTCGAGTTATATTCTTACCTGAAACCGAAAGATTTGAATTTGACGGATTCACCGAACAGAAACGGAATAGAAAGACAGCCAAGAAGAAAAGAAAGGTATTAAAGCGAAGGAAACGTGCCAGCGTGCACGGCGAAAAGTCGACCGATCGCGCTAACAATGAATTTAGCGTTTCTTGCTGTTCAAGCTTCGAAGAAAGCAAAAAGCTGTGAATAAGGGCGGAAGGCTGACGAAAACTGTGAGTGGAAATGAGATATTTGCGGCATTTGAGAAGGACGCACGCGGAAAGTCGGAAAATGATAAGTCGCAATAAGCCGGCTTCGACATAATTTACGATGCTTCAAACATCAAAAAGTAAAGTAAAAACAAAAGAAAAACCAAAACTCTTTATTCAACCGCAAAATAGTGCATTATCACTGTGATTTCTCTTTATTTAAGTAGATCTGGTGGCTGTCCGGGATGCCGTCGCTCAATTCGTCAGCGATTCGTGCTTGTCCCCTAAAAAATGGTTTAGAAATATCATTAAACATGAATAATACCATTAGTCTCATGGGCCGTGTCGTCGGAGGCGTTGATGCATGGCCGATAGATGCCGTTGATTGGAATCTGAGGGCCTGGAAAAGAGAGAGAATTAAGATGATAAATATAACCGACCAGCCGTACATCCGCCCTGCAATTCGAGAGACCACTGCTCACGACGAGAAGCCAGACAATTTGAAGCTCGTTGATGGGGTTCGGGCTTGGGGCCAACTTCTCCGCGAAGAGTACACTTCAACGTCGTCTGAGCCTCAGCCTCACCCAGATCCTCAAATAAACAACAATATCAATTATTATTAGGGAGATGGACCTGTTCCTCGTGAATACTCTCATCCATACACAAATAGTCGATTCTTGTCGACTGGCTGCTGTTTCCTCCTTGACTCGGCCCTCCTTTTCCCATCATCATCATCTCATCCACATCGGATGGCTGCAAAAACAGAAAGCTATCGAAATATACGTAGGAATGGCTCACCTCGACATCGCATGCCCATTCCTGCGTCTTGGCCAGCGACCGGGAGGCCGACATTTTGGGGGTGGGGTAAAAAAATGAAATATAATTAATTGCCCTTCAAAGGCATTTTTATGTTTTATTTGTATTCAAATTTATTGAGTTGTATCCAACCCCGGACATTTTAACAATTTTTCGGTTTTTTTAGCTCGGCAAAATGAGAAATCGGATATTCACGCTCCGTTCACACCTAATGACACCTAACTGTACGGCGTATTGCAGCGGAAGCCCTTTAAAATTTAAAAATTAAAATTCTTGAAAAAAATGAGATCGTTTTAGTTTGGCTTTCCCGTACCGAATTTTGATTTTTCACGATTTTATACTTTTCCTCTATTATTCAACCAATACAAAATAATACCTCGTACGGGCCTGAATATGGTGCTTCGTCCTTAAAATGGTATTTCTTGGGCCAGTGAATGTAAAGAATGCTCTTTTGCGACAAAAATATTTTTCTAGATAGATCCGCACGGATATTTGCGATAAAAGCAACAAAAAATTTGATCTGATAAAACTCGGTTTATTCCCGGAAACACCCGGCACAATACATTCGAAAGCCAATCGGGAATATTCGAGACATATTTCGAGGTGAATAGGGGAAGAATAGAGGGGCTTTTTGAGTGAAACAAAGTGTGAAAAGCCATTCAGCACGACGTCTACGGACTACAGAAAGTCCGATCTGCATCTCGTCTGTTGATGGTTTTGGCATATTTCGAAGAAGATGATCACGCATCGCCTTCATATCCTGAAAAGCCTTTTTAATCGGCTCTATAGACTTACAGCCTTTTTCTGGAGTACAATGGTGAATGTGACGATCATCGTACGGCTTCTATTTGGGGCTACGGGATGCTATAATGAATGTTAATATTTCTAGATATGTCTCTCTCTCTCTCTCTCTCTCTCTCTCTCTCTCTCTCTCTCTCTCTCTCTCCTTACCTCTCGTGCCCATTTCACAACGCTTGCAAAGGTGCTTAATGAATCGGCCGCATGGAACACACCGTCCCATTGAAAAAGCACTATCTCGGGTTCAGCATCTTCCAGCTAAATATTTTGAATTCCGTAAGTGGAGCCCTTTCGCAGCAGCCTTTCTCTAGTAATTAAGCAATCTGTTCTCTATTCCTTTTAGTAGAATTTAGCAATATTTGACGTAGACAAACTTTAGAAAAAAAAATATTGAAAAGCATCGACAATTTCCGTGATTTTAGGTGGAAAACAAAAGCTATTTTCTCGGCCTACAATCCCCCAAAAAGCTTACGATATCGAAAAGGGTCCTCGTTCCGCGTATCCAACAAGTTGGATTCAGATAATGCTTATTGTCCATGCAACACCTCGCAAAGATGCCTGCCTGAAAAGGTATTTTATTCTTGAAAATCTATCGTATCTATCTGTAAAAAGGGTAAAACGAACGATATGTTTCAAAGAGAAACCGCGGCTCTTCAGCCATGCCAATTGAATAACGGCCAATTCCGGGCATGCTTTCACCACAACCGAATATGGATTGGATGTGAGCAGGGAAAGACGTTTTAACGGAAACATCAATTCCTGAAAATTACCTTTTAAATTGTAAATCATTTTATTTTTCCGCCTATGGCTAATCCATTAGGGATGTTTTTGGGTGCTTCAAATAGTTTTTGACCGAGAAAAGTCATTTTACAAATCGAAAATTCGACCGTTTATCGGCCATTGCCATTCATTTTTCATCAAAAGTCACTAATGGTATTAATCGTTAAGAATAAATAAGGTAAGACATACGGCATGGGGAGTTTGTGGCCATACATACAATCCAACAGCACCCGACCTCAGTCCGCGTAGTAAATTATTGAAGATGGCAAGCGCTCGTTCGGCATTGCATCCAGCCCATATGAATTCGCTCCATTTGCCGCGACTCCTGTCAAATGTTAGAAATCATGGTTCTGGACTGTTAGCGGGGGGGGGGGCAAAGTCTTGCTTGTGATTCTCTACGTCTCTATATCAGGATATAAACCACTTTAAAGCATTTTGCATAATTTTTGGATATAAACAATCTAAAAATGATCAAAATTCCCGAATTTTTTTTGATTTATTGGTCAAAAATGGGTAGGCACTCATATTTTCGAAACTCATATTTTCGAAAACTCATTTTTTCGAAACTCATATTTTCGAAAACTCACATTTTCGAAACTCATATTTCCGAAAACGGTTCTTGCGTGGGGGGACTGAACTTTTTTCGGCCCAAGCCTAGATTTTTTATATAAATCGTGGCATTGTTTCTAAACTGTTTATAGCTATTCCTAAGCATAAAAATTTACAAAATTTAATAAAAAACGACCAAATTTTCGACTTTTTCAAGCGTTTTTCTAAACTTTTAAAAAAGTTTTTCCTATTCAAATAAGTTCATTTTTGTTTTTTTTCCTATTCTTCCCCCCGGATACGCGAGAACCCCGAAAACTCATAGTTTCGAAACTCATATTTTTGAAATTCATATTTTCTTAGGTTTTCTTAAGTTACCCAGGCCTATGCAAAACTGTAACTATCAGTTTTCGAAAACATGAGTTTCGAAAATATGAGTTTTCGAAAATATGAGTTTTCGAAACTATGAGTTTCGAAAATATGAGTTTTCGAAAATATGAGTTTCGAAAATATGAGTTTTCGAAAATATGAGTTTTCGAAACTATGAGTTTCGAAAATATGAGTTTTCGAAAATATGAGTTTCGAAAATATGAGGTTTCGAAAATATGAGTTTCGAAAATATGAGGTTTCGAAAATATGAGTTTCGAAAATATGAGTTTTCGAAAATATGAGTTTCGAAAATATGAGGTTTCGAAAATATGAGTTTCGAAAATCTGAGTTTCGAAAATATGAGTTTCGAAAATATGCACGCAAATCTCAAAAATGTATGAAAAATGTCCAAAAAAGGTCAAAATTTTCGAATTTTCGAAATTTTTCAAGGTAATGGGGTAAAGGCGGACCACAAAAAAGTGCCCCCCCCCCTGCTAACAGACCAGCACCGAAATGATATTCCGGGAAGATGTTACCTGAAATCTGGGACGGCACCGTTCCTTTTCCGTCCCTCACCAGCCTCTCGATTCATCGCCGGATATGTGTTGTAATAGAAACGATAGCATCCTGTGGCGCCGAACCAATTCAGCTCCAACTCTCCACAACGTGTCTCACACCAAATACTCAGTCGCTGCAATTTGGACATATTCAAAATATTCGGGTTCTTTGGAATTATCCGGGGGGGGGGGGAAGAAAATTTTTCTGAGGTATCAATTTTTTTTTAATTAATGGCGGAAGTGTTTCGAAACTGTTTTTTTTTGCTCTTCGCAAAGTTAAATACTTTACGCATTTTTATTAAAGAGGACAAAAATATGGATTTTTCGACCAAAAATGGCCCTTTTTGAACCAAAGGTCGCGTTTTTGAAATGTTTAAATAGTCCTTTTCTAGTTAAAATATAGTTTTATTTTACTAAGAACATTGGCAAAATACTTTGTATCAAGTGACAAGGCATTTCTAGATTAATACGACCCCCCTTCCCCTTATAATGTGAGAGAACCAAATATTGAGCGATTACCTCGACTTTGGCAGAGATCAGGATGTCATCAACATATCTTGACGCCGGCCAATATTCACCTTCATTTGCGCACACCTACGATACAATGGTACTGGGCTGTTAGCGGGGGGCAAACTTTCACAATAATTCTCTACGGCCCTAGAACTAAAAATAACCTATTTTTATAGCATTTTATAGTTTTTGGCTACAAAAGTGCAAAAAATTCTCAATAATCTTGTTATATGTTTTTAGGAATCAAAACTACTGAAAGCACTGCACAAAATGAACTATTGATTAGCAATAGATATTTGGGCCAACAAATGAGTTTTTCCCCCCGCTAAGAGTGCAGTACCGATATATGAAGATACCTTTTTGGTGGCAGCTCTGAGATGATGTTTCTCCCAAAAACCGAGATGTCCATAGACGGCTTTTTGTAGTAGAGATGGTAGTGACAAAAAGGGAAGCGATGATTTTGGAGGGGGAGGGGCTGGGAAGTCGAGATGTCGCTCCACATCCATTCTATCAAACAGAAATGACAACTGGTTGAGAGTGGTTGATCAGAAATGAATGATAGAGATCCAGGTCAGATGATTCGAGATCTTATCAACTTTTCAGCTTATCTTCAAAAATGGCAAGAGAATTGTCTCCCAGCATTAATGTCCATACGGCGAAGGCAGGCCTTTTTGGTCAGCCGTATAATAATTCTCCGGACAGATGCCCCATTTCAAAATCAGAAATCCGGATGGGGATAGGGTACTCAAGGCCAGGATTTCATATGATGCTCCCCGAATAATTCAAAAATGTCTCTGTGCTCTGAGCCAGAGACATAGAGATGGAGAAAGGCCTCCAAAGTGACCTGTTCGAGCATTAATGTCGTAGGAAAATTACCATACATCCATGCAAAAATAATGAATTCCAGCCATATTGCCGACATTCGAAATGCCGACAGCCAAGTTGCCGACAGCGAATTGCGACAGCAAATTGCCGACAGCCAAGTTGCCGACAGCCAAGTTGCCGACAGGCCAAATTGCCGACAGCCGAATTGCCGACATATTCGTGAATTTAAGTCCAAGTCTAAGCTTTGGTATATTTGAGTAGCATGACTGTTTAACATGCCAAATTTGGGTAGGGTCTGGCCGCGTGACAAAACCGAACCCGGGACGTTTGCTTGGTGCTAGCGCTTTTGACCACTAGACCAAGAGACAGACAGTGAAGGGGAAGCGGAGAAGGTATATGAAGCTTCCGGGGAAGAGCCCGCAGGCTACCGTCTCGTATGTTAATTGTGCTTAGAATCCACCGGAAATTCTCCCGGATATGAATGTCTACATAAAATTTCCATTCTAGCCCCAAATACTGTCTTTTGTATAATCTGTCGGCAACTTGGCTGTCGGCAATTTGGCTGTCGGCAATTTGGCTTGTCGGCAATCTGGCTGTCGGCAACTTGGCCTGTCGGCAACTTGGCTGTCGGCAACTTGGCTTGTCGGCAAT